TGACCGTCTGCAAATGGCCACGATATCACCACGAGAAAGAGGCACAGTAATGAAGCCAAAGTGAAAGTGCATTTTGAAACGCCTCCCGGCCGGCGGTTACTTCCTATCGTGTACGGCCACCGGCATGTAATATATCCCAGATGATAAAGAATTTTCACAAGGACACTTGTATGTACAGCGTAGGTGGTACTATTCTTATTCTTGTTCATGTAGAGCATCGTTGAGTGTTTTTTATCCAAGGCTTGCAAGTTGCCCAGCGAGCTGATGAGATACAACCCATACATGTCTAATGTCCATCACGAACATCAATTGCACTATGTAAGTCTCTACGTAGTAGGTACTCTAATGCTCGGGTATTTTACCAGTCGGAGTGACAAGAAAACCTTCTGCTGCAGTCAGCTGTCATCCCTATAGGCGATTTATTATGTTTCAGTGTCAAGTAAAACATGTTCAGCCCCGGGGTGTGGAACATGTTGTGCGACTCGACACTCTTTGTTCAGACGACGGATCACAAAATCGCGCGGAGCTTTGTATAATTATATGTACGTAAGCCAATAGCGAGGTTTAAATAATCTCGCCCTTCACATGTTTATCTGGCTGGCTTTGGGATATCTTCGGGCCTTGGATGTCAACGGGTTTTTTTAGGCAATTGTTCAGGAAATAGATCTACTCTACTAGGTACTTAGTTGATACATCCATGCCTCAAGATGTCTCGGTCCGACCAGCATCACAGCTTGCATAAGAGAGACCGGAGAGACACTACATTGGACAGCTTACCTACCTACTCTGCAGTCAACTCCATCCACCTCACAGCACCTAGAGTACGTAGGTAGTCGCTTTATGCCAGTATCTTCGTGTACCCGGGTACGTCACCCATCTCCCAAATAACTAATTGCTCCGTCGGATTGAAATACTCAACACGCCCGGAGACTCGGCGCCTCGGCGTCCGAGTCAGCACCAGACATCCGAGTCGGCCCCGACATCCGAGTCGGCCCCGACATCCGAGTCGGCCCCGACATCCGAGTCGGCCCCGGCGTCCGAGTCAGCCCGCCGCCCGTTTTATGCACTGCGAGTAGGTCTATCTGATGCCCTGGTTTCCGACGATATGCAAAGGTGTAGATGTCCTGATGTGGACGATACCGGGTTTGTGAAAATTCGATAGGGATTTGGATACGGCATTTGATTTCCCCTTCATGCCCCTACCCCCGGCCGCTATGGCCTGCGACGATCATTGTAGGAGTCGGGTGCTGGAGTTTGGACCGGAAAATGAAGTCTGAAACGGAAAGAGGCTCCAGTGATGGGAATCAAGCATTGTGCTTTACCTACTCTTATTTTTATCTGTGCCGCGTAGCACCGGCCCTTGTGTAACTTCAAATAGTAGCAGCAAGTCTTCTAGATGTAGGGATCATGTCGCAACCCCACGATTGATTGATCGTCGACCACTAACGTAACGCCGGCCACGACGGCAATGTATGTATATACCTATGCAAATGATTATTGATAGCGAAGCGGAAATCGGCAATACACCAATTTGTCGCATGAGTGATCAATTCTATAAATCTCTTCCTTCCATGTCTCTGTAGATGCAAGGGGTGGGGGTTTTACTTATAAGCAGTGCACATGCCCGTGTTGCTCATAAAGGAAAAAGGAAAGTGAGGGCATCGAAAAAAAAGTATATAGACTAGGCATCCGCAACACTGACTTGCCTTTACCACCCACCTCTCTCACACAACCACCCCTCCTCAATCCACCATGCACACCAAGGCCATGGCGGATCTACCCCCACTCACCGTCAAATCTTTGACTGTGGGGCTCCTCATCCTCTATTTTGTCCGCAAGCTTATCCTATCCGTATATCGTACCTATACCAATTACCGCTTCGCCACTGCCCACAAATGCCTTCCTCCCACAAAGTTCCCTTCCCCTTGGCTCGGCATCCCGAACTGGTGGAGTATCATCAAGGCCGCTCGCACCTCTGAGCACGTCGCCCTCATCTGCAACCGCTACAAGCAGTACGGCAATACCTTCACTGGGTATATGTTCGGCGGAACACATATCGCTACCATCGAGCCCGAGAACATCAAAGCAATTCTTGCAACCAACTTCAAGGACTGGTGCCTAGGTCCTGCCCGCTTCAACAGTTTCTATCCTCTCCTGGGCCCCGGAATCTTCACGAGTGATGGCCCGGCATGGGAGCACTCAAGGGCCCTGCTGAGGCCTCAGTTCTCGAGAGATCAGGTCAGTGATATAGAGAGTCTCGATATCCATGTTAACCGCCTCATGGGATGGATCGATAAGTCTGCTGGGAAGATTGTGGACCTACAGCCGCTATTCTTTAGGTTGACACTTGACTCTGCGACAGAGTTTTTGTTGGGAGAGAGTGTGAATACATTATTGACAGAAGACGGGGGCAAGGGTGCAGACGGTCAAATGAACTTCGGACAAGCATTTGATACTGCGCAGAGGTATTTGATGATTCGTATGAGGGCTAGAGGGCTGTATTGGTTGGTCTATGGTAAGGAGTTTAGGGCAGCAAACAAGATCTGTCATGATTTTATGGATCGGTTTGTGTATGCTGCGTTGGACAAGAGGAACTCGATGAAATCAGAGCTGCAACCGGAGAAGAAGAAGTATGTATTCCTTGACTCGCTCGTGGAGCAGAACCAGGACGTAGAGTATCTGCGATATCAGCTGTTGCACATCCTATTAGCAGGAAGGGACACGACCGCGTCCCTACTCGGCTCATGCTTCGTCCTCCTATCCCGACACCCCCAAGTCTACGCAAAGCTGCGGACCGAAATCCTCAACTCTATTGGCGACGGAAAAGACGGCAGAATCCCATCCTTCACCGAGATCAAAGACATTACCTATCTCCGTTATGTTCTGAATGAAAGTGAGTCACTCACGTCTTTCGCAGGCCTCTAACAGTACTAACAAAACGATAGCTCTCCGCTTGTACCCATCTGTCCCACTCAATGGCCGTACCTCGGTCAGGAATACTACTCTCCCCAAAGGTGGCGGGCCGGACGGGCAGTCCCCCATCTTCATACCCAAGGGCCAGCGATGCGACTACGCCGTCCGAGCCATGCATCTCCGCGAGGATCTCTACGGACCCGATGCGGCCAAATTCCGCCCGGAGCGGTGGTCAGAGGGTGTTGGTAAGGGCTGGGACTACCTTCCATTCAACGGCGGGCCGAGGATCTGCTTGGGACGTAAGTAGCCGTGATGTTGTGCTGTGTGGGTTGAGATATGCGCTAACACGGGTTGTAGAGCAATATGCGCTGACCGAGGCATCTTATACCGTGCTGAGGATCCTGCAGAAGTATGAGAGCATTGAGCCAGCTGATAATATGCCGTATGAGAAGGTGCCACTGGCCTCGTCGTTGACGACGGCACCGGCGTTGGCGACAGTTAGGTTGCAGAAAGCTGCTTAGTGGGTGCGGGTTTCCTTTTGATGATTCCATGAGATGTGTTTCTGTTATGTACCATGTTTTTCTATGTTTCAATGGTAATGAACTTGAATTCCACTCGATTAGAAACAAGTCTTATCGCATTCTCGCCTTCTGGTGCTTGTTGTAGAGAATAAGCCGAAATATAAACACGTTGTACAGTAATTGAGCCAGACATATATGTGGAGCAGTAGGTACCGTAAGGCAGTGTGTGTTCCGATGGCTGTAGCAAGACCAAGCTGTTGGATGAGAGAAGAGACGGTGGCGATATTAGTAGGACTACTAGAACTTCTACTCGTAATTTCATAGCGTTTCCGAACACGACTAATATTGTATGACATATAAAAAGGTGGATTTGGCGCCTTTTTGTATGGTATGCAATAGTAGTCGTGTTCGGAAACGTCATGAATTTACGAGTAGCTTTATACGACATAATTGAGGGCAGGTTTGTCACGCCATTATTCCTCGCTATAAGTCAATAGTTGTAGTATACGCAGCTGACAGTCAGGATCCAATGCCCATCAGTCTGTAGAAGGAAATCGTAACGCATAAAAATGATGCGACCCATTAACGGAAGGACAGGATATTTGATACCGATATCACACACTGTTGATCCAGCCATACAAGCCTCCTCCCGTCATCGTAGAAACCAGTTGTTCGCGCAAACCGAGATTCTCGCAAGTCGAGGGCTAATGGAGTTGTCAGTGGAACTTTGTATCTTTGGTTGCTCGTGTTGATGATGAAAGAGATCCTCCTCTCGGTGCATGTAGGCGGGTCCCCTCAAACCTTGGCCATGTCAGCAGGTATGTATGTAGGTACAGGTAGCCAGCGTAGTATTTAAGTCAAGTCAAACCTTCAAGTACCCGGGGTGCACCCGCTTGGTATGAAGTACTCCACTCACCGAGTACATGCAGGTAGAGTTATGTACCCTGCACATACCACAGAATTCAGAGGATGACCACCTAAAGATACATGTGCCAAGCAATAATGTGATTACTTATTCCCCACATGAGGCACACCACCAAAGATAAGCGAGTGACAGCCCATGACGCGCTGTGCCTCTCGCTTGAGTCTTCAGCCTCACGCACAGCCCTACCGGCCTCGCCAATCATACTATTTCCAGTGATCTGCGCGCCTATCTCTCACCGGTAGGCTAGAATAAACCTGTTAAAATATCCGAAATGCCCTAACCCACACATTAATTGGTGGAGACTCACCTAACCCACTCTTCAAATCTGCTAACCGCCGGCGAGTGAGCCACTGTGAAGATCGAAGATCATACCAAGAAATCTAATTTCGGCAGCCAGCTACCCGAGAACTTACCCGGCCCACCACTTCACCATTTCCCCAGGATAGGCCAGCTAACCCAACCTAACCTCGATTGTCAGCTGGTTCGCTCGTTAAGTTGTTGGTCGACATCACCACAGCTCACCTCACTGCACACGCCACCAAGGAGCTTCACGAAGCTCTCCACGACACACGGAGGCCTTCAGGACGCCCACCTGCTACCAACCTAGCAAGAAAACAAAAGAAAACAAAAGTAAAGCAACCATGGCCCCAGGCCTCTTCTCCCGGCGCTCCTACGACGCCGACGCGCCCGCCTATGCCGCCGTCCGCGGAAGCACCTCCCCGCGCGCCCCAGCACACAGCGATAGCGACGTTACCGAAGATGAAGAAGAAGCTGGCGGCGAGCGGGACATGGAGGTTCTTCGCGAGGAGGAGGAGCGCGAGAAGCTGCTGTCGGGTGGGCAGGGGCTGTTTGGGAGCATCGGCCGCAAGGTGGGGAATGGGAGCATCAAGATTGGAAAGAAGGTTCGTGGCATGGGGCGCCGGAAGGGCGTAAGGGAGGTGGTGGCTATGATGGGCGGGAAGCGGCTGGGGATGGAGGAAGGGGGGGAGTTTGGCATTGGGACGGGGAGTGACACGGGGAGTGATAGCGAGATTGAGGAGGATGAGCTGCTGGCGGAGAAGTTGGCGTATGAGAGGAAGGTGGGTAGATTGCTTAGAGAGTCCTTGTCTTGTTCTTCTTGTCGGTGTTGGAATTGCTGTATCTTTTTGTTGATGTTGCGGGAGTCTGCGAGAATTCAATATATACCCCCAGATATCGCGCATCTTTTTGTTCTTCTCTTGTTCTTGTCCACAGTCAGTCAGTGAACACAGCTAATCCACTCAGCAGCCACGAAAACCGAATGGCCGTTCCATGCTCCTCGTCACCAGCATGCTGCTGACCTTCCTGATGCTTCTCATATTCGCCTCTCTCTCACTCTCCTCTCACAGCACCTACCCCATCAACCCACGGCCCGCTACGCTCTCCAACGGCACACACGCCTTCCGCCCCACCACTATCCTCATCTCCCTCGACGGCTTCCGCGCTGACTTCCTCTCGCGGCACCTCACACCCACACTCACCGCCTTCGTCGCCTCCGGGCTCTCCCCGCGGTTCATGACGCCCAGCTTCCCCAGCGTCACCTTCCCCAACCACTGGACGCTCGTGACCGGCCTTTACCCCGAGTCCCACGGTATCGTCGGCAACAGCTTCTTCGACCCCACCATCGAGAAGGAGTTCTACTACACCGACCCCGCACGCTCCCACTCCGTCTCCTGGTGGGGCGGCGAGCCCATCTGGTCCACCGCCGAAAAGCAGGGCGTCAAGACCGCCGTGCACATGTGGCCTGGATCCGAGGCCGCCGATGGCTGGGGAATCTCCTACCTCGACCGGTACAACGGGTCCGAAGTCCTCTCGCGCAAGACGGACCGCATCCTCCAGCTCCTCGATATGGGCCTCGTTGACCGCCCGCAGCTGGTCGCCGCATATGTTCCCAACATTGACTCCGTGGGCCACAAGTACGGGCCCAACACTACGCAGACTGACGACGCGATCCGCTCTGTTGACGCTATGTTCGCGGAGCTGCTGAAGGGACTGGATGCCCGTAATATTACGGAGCTTGTTAATATCGTTGTGGTCTCAGACCACGGCATGGCGAGCACGGCTAACGACCGCCTCATATATCTCGACGACATCATTGACATGTCGCAAATCAGCCACACCGACGGCTGGCCGCTGTACGGTCTGCGTCCCGCGCCAGGTGTCAACATCTCGCAGCTGCACGCAACACTTAAGTCTGAAGTGGCCGCCAACGCCGCCAAGGGCGAGCACAATTGGGACGTCTTCCTGCGCGACGAAGACATGCCTGGCCGCTGGCACTTCTCCGCGAATCCACGGATCGCACCACTCTGGATCGTCCCCGAGACGGGCTACGCCATTGTCACCAGAAAGGAATTCGACGTGAAGACGGCTCCACTGGGGGCAAAGTATGCGCCGGCAGGCTTACACGGGTATGATAATACGCACCCGCTGATGCGCGCGGTATTTATTGCGCGGGGGCCGTCGTTTAGGCATTTGCATGGTAGCGGGGGCGCGTGGCGGCTGGATGAGCATGATGGTGGTGAAGTGGCGGGGGTGAAGGCGGGGGTGGTGGAAGAGTTTGGCAATGTCGAGGTGTATCGTATGCTGTGCGATACATTGGGGCTAAAGGAAGGTGCAGGAGGCAGCAATGCGACGTTGGCAGGTATTGAAGCGCTAAGACTTGTCAGTGATGAGGAGGAGCCCGCGGCGAAGGAGGACGAGGAGAAGGGGGGATCGGGAGAGCCAAAGCTCCCAGTCCCAAGTGGCGTTGCGGCGACGAAGACACAGACGCAGACACAGACGCAGACCACAGCGGCGGTGATGCCGACGGCGACAAAGCTGCCGACAGATAGCACGGCGGACGAGGACTCGGAGGCGAATAAGCAGGCGATGGACTGGCTTGAGTACGTCAAGATGAAGGCCGAGAAGCTGAAGGATGCGCTGAATAAGTGGTGGGAGGGCGTGTGGGTGGATGAGGGGGCGGATATCGAGGTTAGTGGGTAGTTAGACTGTGCTGTTGGGTCTTTTTTCTTGTTTTTGCGGTTTTTTTCTTTCTTTCTGTAGGCATGCGGGCCGCGCTGAGTGGCTATGGGGTGGTAGGGAGGAGTGCCTTTTTTCCTTTTCTTTTTGAGTTTCGGGTTTCATCTGTAGGTATTTATAGTGCTAGTTAAGTTAGAGCTGGGGAGGTAGTTTCTCCTTTCGGGGCCTGGTGAATGAACTCGGTCCAGTCAGTGTTTCTTGTGAGGTTTCAGGGTGGTGGTGAACGGGTGATAGGGCTGGGACGATAGGTAGTTAGTTGCCTCTCCACTTTGCATGAAGTTAGAGCTTTCTTTTTTTTCTTTTTCTTCGAGCTTTCCTTTCCTTGTGTGTGTAATGGTGTGGGGAAGGGGAATAGAACTCTGCATTTTGCTTGTGTCTTTGACCTTGGGGTTCACTCTGGTGACTGAGCCAGGTGATTTATAAAGTCGTCAGTTGACCATGGTGAGGGAGAGAAAGGTAGGGAGGGGTGGTCGTAGATCGAGTACACATGCACGTATATGTAATACACACATGGGAATCAATTGAGTCCACGCACAGTGTCAAATCCGAGGACGTGAGGCCTGGATGAGATGATATGTATACGGGACTACGCTACGGCGATTGCATAGGAGAAGTCCTCTGATCCTTGCCCTCTGCTTGTAGAAATGCCCACTGGATTTTCGTGATATATTACCATTGCACATTTGTTACACGTATATATTTCTCGCTATACCTATCTACACGCATCTATCTACAGAAGGCAGCCTCTATACACATGTGGCCACTCTTCGCGACGAAAGACAGGCCTCTATACACGACACAGACTAACATTCCCAGACCTAAACCGCGACGGAGAGAACAAGGGAAGAATCGATACACCGCGCCGCGTCCAAACAGCCTCCATTATAGTAATCAATAATAGAACCACCGTAAAAGCTACATTTACCTCCATTGATATTAGAGATAGCAAAGAACCCACACGCGTAGGTATGGATGTAAAACGAAAGCTCAAAACCCGCCGCTATGACTTAAGCCCACCATCCCGTATGTACAAACAAGCCTGAGTATATGTAGCCCCCCACAACAAGATGATGTCCCCGGTTCTAAGATCTCCTCACAGCACTGTCTCCTACCCGTTGACTTTCGGCACACCACCGAGGGTGGAATACAGGCGTGATGTATCGAAGTTCCCCATAGATAGAAACGGGACGCTACCTTAGATGTACGTACATTTGTAGGCCCGCGATCACAGCCGTGTTCTCCAAAAGCTGAGACTCTTCCCTCAAACAGCCGGGACGGGCGAACATGTAGCCTGAAGTCTCGCGTGGAGAGTGAGGCCAAGCCCACCTAGTCCCAGAAACATAGAACGACGTGAGGAATGGCGGGAGAACATGGGCTGCAGCATAGTAGGAGACGCAGGTACAGGCCCAAGAACGCCGAGCAAATTCCTATGTAGAGTACACGCGTGCATTAAAGCCCCCACCCTACCCGCAACCATGGTACCGGTACATACCCCATCGAAGAAAGTGGGGGCTGGAGTAATAATTGACAATACTTCTGAAAACGATCCATTCCATCATCCTACCATGTACTCCATGTAGCGTGGTTGCGATATCCACAGCGGCGTACGGTTGTGCAACGCCCATCCACACCGCAAGCAGTGTATAAACGAGTGATACCTCATGTCGTAGCCTCCCCGAGTATGAAATGTGTCCTACTCCCACGTGACGTGACTTTGTCGATGTACTGTTCCTAAACGAGACGCGCTCTCGCGATCATGATCGTGTTGTTGTGTATATTCTATGTGGACGTGTACTCTCGAAACGTGTTCTCTCTCCACTTACGCGCTAGTCTCTAAGTGACGGACCCCGGGTGGGGGGGGGGGGGGGGGGGGTGTGTGTGTGTGTGCAAAATCTCGGTAGCGAGATCGATATTTTTCAGCGGTAGCGAGACGGGGAGATTTTATTGCATAGAATCACGACAAGGGAAAGGATCTACATGTGCATTGGAAACGCGATATAATCGAGTGATAATGTATGAAGAAGAGATTTACAGCACGTGGGTTTATCGGGTTGAATTGCCTGTATGTGATTTTAATCGTGTTTCTGATGTTGTGCAACGTGGAGTGGTGGATATGGAGGCGGTCAAAGCAGAGGTATGAAGGCGAGTGATCACCCGTGAAGCGCTATATCCATTGGTGAATAATCGCACGGTAATTAACTCAATCGTGGAGAGATTTGGTAGGTATTGTGGAGAGACTTTCGTGGTGTTATATTTAGACATCTGAGGCTCTCGTAACCGAGATGGCGGCGGGTTAACTTACGTCGTAAGATGTGGACACGTTTCTAGAAAACATATATGTTCACGATGATTCTCAACAATGATCAAAAAAACTGATTTAAATCTCGCAATTTAATGCCATTGTAAATACTATTCTTTCAGACTACTCTAGAGCTCTTAATTCGTTCTATTTAATCATTGATTCTTGCGAGTTTGGGTTTCCAATGGCGACCCTTTTTTCGCCACCCTTAGTCCATTCCTAATAATAGACGCTCGCCTTATATTCGATTTTTTCCCTTCAACCCTTCTTCCCTCCTTATCTTTTTTAACCTACAGCTTCTACAACAGCTTCTACACATCGCATACGTACACCAGTCTAACTGTACCACTTTCAAAACTACTGAATTATCTCGAAACAACTAGTTCGCTAATTTGAGACTTCTTGCCTTGCTAGAACTACTTGTAGTTTCTCACTTGCTCGTTTAAAACCTTTCTCTCGAAAAAATTTGAGGGGTGAAGTTTGTCACGTACACAAAATGGTACCCGCGTTTCCACATATAGAGTCTAACTTTTTTAGATTTTCCAGCACTTAACTACTCTCACACACATCTAGAGATTTCCGTTTGGTTTCTCGCCTCGCGTAGAGTGCTTTTCTTTGAGAGCTTAAGCCTTGTTGCACATCTAGAGATCATCCTTCCGGTATTGTTTCTCGCCCACGCACATTGGTTAACTGTCCTCATATATCAATAACCACGAAATTAACTTGTGATTAGAGATATTCTTCTGAATATTTCGCTACTCTCAGTTTTTCGGTTATCATTTCTGCCTCTCTCTTTAAAGTTTCACTCATCCAAAAGAGTCATCTCTCCTTTTGGTTTTCATCTCTATCTCTCTTCTCATATTTCCGAAAGAGCCATCTCTCTTTCCGGTTACCAGTTCTGTGTCTCTATTCAAAGTTTCACTCATCCAAAAGAGTCATCTTTCCTTTTGGTTTTCACTTTCGCCTTTCTCAACTCTCTGTAATTAGTATCATCCGAAAGAGTCATCCCCTCCTTTCGGTTCCGCTTTTTTAATTGGCAATCATATCTCTTCCCAATCATGTCTTCATACGAGATCAATTCATCTTCTCACCCAATAACCATCTCTTCTCCCAACAAGGAGCTGCCCTCTCAGCAGACGAACCCGTTCGTGAGAGATCTGGGACATTCTTTCCCGCCACCAACATCACATTCATCCCCCAAACCGCTCCGTGACCTCCCCCAGGAGTACCGATCTGGCACCTCACAGCCCTCCAATTCCAAGCCCTGCATTCCCATCGGCGACTGGTGGGAAGCTGTAGAAGACGCTGAAGATGATAATGTCTCCTCAGATAATCTTGTCGTCGGGAGTAGTACTGCAGCTAGTACTGACTCTATAACTCATATCTCCTCGTGGGAGCGGCACCTCAATAACGTGTCCGAACTTACCCTTGATGGTTCCGATCCAGAAGGCGGTCTCCACTCTGACTATTCTGGGCCCGAGTATTCTGATGACAACGATATGTACTCCAACTCGTCGTTTTCCGATGACGAAGATGATGATTTCTTTAATGTGGCCCCATTGCCATCCTCGTGGGCAGACCTGTTCGAAATATGTCTCAATGGGCCACAGCCCCCCAAAAAGAGGTATCGTTCTGGTTGGTGGGAGGAAATTGGCTCACAAAGAAGCTTGTTTCCGGCCAGTTATACTGTTTTTGAAAGTTCAGACCGCCTCCCCCCCCTTCTGGAGGAGGAAGAGCCTAGAGATGATATTACTACATCTTTAGGGAGCCGTTAGTATGCGTACAATAGTAGTTACTGTTGTTTTTGTTGATTATTGTCAATCGTTGCTATGTTGTTATGTTGTTTGCTGTCAACAATTCTATTGTTGACGTATTATTGTAAAAGCTAGACGTTGTTCTAGGCTATGTGTACTATTGTACTAGAGGCAGTTTTGGCCTCTAGATTTGTAACTATAAAGAGAGAGCTTTCGCTCTCTCTCCTTTGTTTCTTCATCAGTCATACAATACATATGTATTGAAATACAATTCTATTTTTTATACTTTGGAGTAGGCCGCTGTGCGTGCTGCTTAGTAAAAGATGATTTTTTCAGTGTTTGTGATTTTGTTTGAAGGATTTGCAATTGGTACCTTTACCCCGACTTCTATCGTCTCTCGGGGTTTTCTGGTACTTGGCTTGGATTTTGGTAGGCTCCTAGATGTGCCTATTTATTGGGGAGCTGCTGCTATATGTCGAGACTTGGTTTCAAGCGCGAGATTTACCTTGGTTCCAGCTCCTCTAGCCATATTCTGGCCAGACTTCGTGAAACCTTTATTCCTTGTGCGTGTTATGTAACTACATGTACCTGTATTTACTTACAGAAATTAAAAGGAAGATCTGTGTATCTTTCTTTGGTTTCTTCCGATTAACAATCACGTGTCTTTGTTTCCATCCCATCTTCCGAAAACACCCTCGCAAATTCTATACGACATGCATACAATACAGTCCATGTCACGAGTCCCTATCTGATACATCAAATCAAATTCTATGAAGGGCTTTCGAGTCATTTCATTGATCACGCCGATATCAAGACACCTCTTCAATTCTACATTACGGCGTTATGGGGGTGAATGTCCTTTCCAAGAATTTCTCTTTGACTGAGGATAAATTTATTGTCAGCTTCATACGCCTTCGGCGTTTCTGGATCTTGCTTTTGTGAGGAACCCTACTTATTTTGTTCGACTTTGACCATCACTTCGTTAGCTTCTAGCTAGCAGCAGATGATAACTGACTCCGGAGATCATTATGTTCTCCCCGGGAATTAAATTCTCAATTGTGACAGGTCTCCGGTTCGATCCCGGAATCGGGCCTATTTTTTTTTCCGGATTGCATCATGAGTTATTATCACGGTACCGAATCCTGGCGTATGAAACGGTATGATGGACACTGAGTAAGAGCTGAGTTAGCTCGCCACAAGGAGTCGTTGATGTAGGTCTTAGAATTAGGATTATCTTTTTTCCGACCTGCATCATGGGATGTCACAGTGGTGCCGAATGCTGGCGTATGATTACGTTTGGATACATGTATGCTTTTTATATGATTGGTGTGTAAACCCTGGCCGTTATTCTATTGATGTATTACATGTAGGTTGTGTACGTTATACTAGAGGATATCTCAGAAGGCTGACATGGGAGGTACATGATGTATCATTGTCAAGGATGCTGCCTTTTACTGGTAGCTTTGATAAATTACATGTATGTAGAAGCGGCATGAACATGTCGAAAATGAGACTACATATAGGTACTAATGCGCGTGCCCTCAGCTTTTGTTAACAAGATTAGTAGACGTACTGTATACACAATCGGCCCCAGATATTTTTCGAAGAAGTCAAGATAGCTCTCTGGGAATGCATGTAATAATACGATACGGCCGACCTTCAGTCGATATAAGTACTTATCAATCGATATACATCTCTAACATGATAGATACATGTACATGTATATTATTATTAGGCGCGTGACTGGATGAATTATATGTACATGTATCTGTTCAAGACAATTCCTCCGTCTGCTCCCTTCCCCGCAACTTTATTTGTCAAACCATGTTCATTTAATGTAGATACATGTGCTGTCAGAGGCAGGTACGCAGACCCACTCTTGCTGTATCTCTTTTCGACTGTGCGGGCCGCGTCTAGCTCGTTTCCCAGTGCAAAACCTTATTTCGATGACTCTTGGCTAATATCAACCCTGGTAGAAGCAGACAGATACATATATGTATACCGATATCTTTCTACTGGAGACTGCCTGCTTCCTTTCCCAGTGCATAATCTTATTTGGCTGCCTCTTGTATACTCGTATGCGTAGGCATGAGCATAGAGTAAGTACCACGTATAAACTTCCTCGCTCCGTCCCTTCCTCTCCTCTTCCTTCTTCCATCCTCCATCCTTCTCCTCTCCTCCATTATTTTTCTCTCAACCATCACTCTACACCAAAATATCAGCATATTCAGGGCTTCAAAACTCATCTTCATCATCCTATAAGCAGAATAATGAAGCAAATAATAATATTGAGTTTCCTCTCTCTCTCTTTCTATCATTATTTCCTTTATCAACGATGAGGCACATGATGATATCGATGGCTTCAATCGTGAAGCCGTCTTTTCTGATGCGGAATCAGAATCTTGAGATTCTTTCCCTCTCTTCTGTTAACGGACTTAGAGACTTCATCATGATGAGCAGCAGCGAATCATCGGAAATAACCAGCGGGAACTTATAATAACAAATAATGGTGAGTTTTCTGCTACTTCCGATGTTGTCCTCTTTTTTATCATCAAATGACGACCATTCTCTCAACAACTTATTATCAACGCTGAAAGCAACAGAATCTACACACCTTACTATCAGAATCCAATCATCATCTGAAGAATACGACTTTCTATTAACAGCAACAAATGAAACGATATTAAGTAAGTTTTCCTTATCCTTTGCCTTGTGCTGTAAATACTGCCTCGCTATCGATCTCCATCAAGAGCATGTATTGACACGTCGAATAGATAAAAAAAAAAACATCATCAAAAGGATAAGGAAGAAATCCATCCTATATAATGCAAGCGTAAATCTGTATAAACAGTGGCTCAACAAAAAGATATTAAATAAGGCCTCGACTACGCCATTTTTCATCATATCAACAAGATAAAATATTCCTGCCAACATTAGCAAATTTAAAAATATCAAGGTTTTCTTCTCATTCAATTTTCCGTTGATATATCTTTACTTCAATCGACCTTCATTAATCGTACGTGCTGACATCTAAAAGATAAATAAACTTCATCAAAAGGATAAGGAAAAATCCATCCTCTATCAACCAAGCATAAATCCGCATAAACAGTTGCTCGAATATAAGAAAATATACCATCTTTCATCACCATCGCATTTAAAGATAAAATCTTTCTGACAGCAGCAACAAATGAAAATAATATGAAGTAATGTCTCCCTATTCTTTGGTTTTACTGTCAATATCTCTTTAATTGATCTTCATTTAACTGTATGTACTGGCATCGAATAGATAAATGAACTTCATCGAAAGGATAAGGAAACATCCATCCTCTATCGAAAGCATAAATCGGTATAAGCAGTGGCTCAGTTATAAGACAAGGTTTCGAATATGCCATCTTTCATTATCATAATCATCGTCGTCTCAAATATAAAGACGAATATCTTTCCAACGGGTGTCATCAAAGATATTAGGTAGTGACTCCTTTCCCTTGGATTGATGATATTGTTCCCTAATCCAGAAATTCTGACAAGGAAAAATTAAAAGGATAAGGAAATATCCATCCTCTATCAATCAAGCATAAGTCTGTATAAGCAGTAGCTCAGCAAATACACCGATTATACAATCTTCCAACATCATATTAAAAAGAGAAGCATCGTTCTTGCGGCAGCAAAAATAATATCATGTAATATCTCCCGATCCTTTGGCTTCCCTAGTTGATATTATGTTGGGCTATTCAGTCGATGCGTGTTTACGACAGCTGACATCCAAAAGATATACAAATATCTTCAAAGGGATAGGAAAATATTCATCCTGAATCAAGCAATCGTAAACCCGTATAAACAGTTGCTCAATATATATAACAAATCCTCCGACTATATGCCGTGATCATCATTCTGTGGGAACGATCCACATGAAGAGTGATATTAGTCAACGCTGAGTGCACCTTAAGATTTGCTGCTCGTTCTAATACTGACATGACAATAGATTTCAGCGTTAATTAATAGCAAATGATAGCTTAGAAAATTTAAACAAAGGGGTGTAGATGCAAATGATGATTGACTTCGCAAGTGTCGTCCTATTCTGATGCTGATTTAATAAAACAGGAGGGACCTGGCCTGGTCGTGGTCCGTTTGGATCGTAAGATCATCTGCATCCTGTGGTGGAAATTCTTTTTTTTTTTTTACTAATACAGGAGGGACCTGGCCTGGTCGTGGTTCATGCGGACCGTAAGATCATCTGCATCCTGTGGAGGATAGGAGAAAAGGTTTAAAAGTTATTTTCGAAAACATACTGAGGGTTCATGAAAAGCAAATGATGAATGACTTCCAAGGTGTCGTCTTTTAGATTCTGATGCTAAAAAGGTTCAAGGTACCAGCTAGTTCTTGTTTGAGAATTGATCGTTTCATCATTTATTCGAGAATGATTTCAAAAGATGGTATATAAAGAGTCCTCTTCCACCCCTTCGTGCCTATATCTATGTTATCGATGCCAACTAACCTTTTGCAATTGAGATTTAGTGTTGTATTTCGATAAGGGCAGTTCCCGATATTCTGGATCAAACTATCCATCTCGCCTGGAGAATAGGAACAAACGGACGACTCCCCATTCTGCATATTAATACTCACTTGCACTATCTCGCCAATTTTACGGGTATTTGCCCAATCGTTAAGCGCTCGTAGAGTTAATACTCACCGATATTCCAGATGCTTTATCGTTAGCATAACATCATTTAAAAGTTAAGAATTGCGTGAGTGATCATACCTTATAATCCATCAATTTTACCATTGCTAATACGTTTTAAGACCCTCTATGAAGGTATTTAACGACATAGTAGGACCTGATCTTACAATCTATCGAATTATTGTTAACATCTTCGATACATAGGAGTGATAACTATAATAGAAAGATGACTATTTAAATAACACCATAAGCCTGTGCAGGTATTTGTCTCTATTCTAGACCCTTTTATTCAATTATTTACGACTAACTTTCTGAAAGAGAAAAGAAGATTTTGATCGTTCGAGAGCCAGAGGGGTAGGTTATAATAGCAAATGATGATAAAACTTCCAATTGGTAGTACTTTTTCTGATGCTCCTTTACTAACAGAGGAGGGACCTGGACTGGTCGTAACCATTTGTACTGGCAGAAAGATCATCGGCATCCTGAGGAGGGCAGAGATTTGTAAGTCAATCCATGAATTTCAAGATCGAGCATATGATGAGAATGAATACTATTATCGCGTCGTCTTCTCTGATGCTCATATATATTAAAATGGGAGTGACCTGGACTGGTCGTCGTCAGCTGAGCTGGCGGAAAGATCATCAGCATCCCGCGGAGGAGAAACAGAACTAAGGAGTATAACTTTGCAAATGATGATAACAAAGACTTCCAATCGGTTGTCTTTTTCTGATGCTCTTTTACTAACAGAGGAGGGACCTGGACTAGTCATGGTCAGTTGAACTGGCAGGAAGATCATCGGCATCCTGCGGAGGGCAGAGGCTTATAAGTCAATCCAACAGCATATGATGAGAATAAATGACTGGCATCGGGTTATTTGCTCTGATGCTTCCATCAATGTATGTACTGGAATCAGGAGGACCTGGACTGGTCATGGTCTCTTAATGAATCGAAAGATATCATCCTGGGGGGACAGAGAACCAATATCCTTGCAAATGATGAAAAATGACTTCCTCTGCGTTGTCTTCTCTGATGCTGAAAAAATACTAACAAAGAACAGACCTGGACTGGTCGTTGTCAATTGAATTGATAGAAAGATCATCAGCATCCTTCGGAGGGCAGACTTGGAATAAGGCAAATCATGACAATAGTTGACTTCACTTGTGTCGTCGCACCCAGATCTGATGCTGCTATAAAGCTCCCTATCTTTGCGGGGCGCTGTTGAGTGTCTGGAATTCTCTTGCTGTCTTCAGTCAGTAGTCAAGGGATCATGGTACCCTGTAGGGATGGATAGGTGCAATAATCTTGTATGCTTGAGATAATTCAATGTTCTGTTTAGACGTTTGTGTCGATTCTGTAATCTTGTTTGAGAGCGTAATGTGAAAGGTTTAGAAATCTGACGAGAAAAGAGACAGCGCCGAGTCACAGAACGAGGCTAGGTGTTAGAACACACGAAAAGGCCCAGAGGACGTCCCTCTACCCCCGTTGTAACTAATGTCACCATGCTGTTGTGTAGAATCACTTGGGCCAGCTTTTTTTTCCCCCAGCGAGGGAGACCGTAAATTCATACAAACAGACCTTTTCATGTGCTTAGCTGAGTTATGAGGGCATGCAGGACTTAGATCATGTCATCGGTTTTTGTGCTTCTTTCTCGGACTCGGGTAGGTCAAAGGGAAGTTTGGCCAATCCCCGAACAAATGATTGGACTCATCGGAACAGCATGAATTTTCAGGCGACTGAGTGGAGGATCATTCCACCAAGGATCTCATCTACGTCCTAATATAATTTACAGCCCATTTGTTTCATCTTTGTGGGCCGTTAAACCTCCCATAGGGGACAGGGTGGTAAAGGTAGATCACGTTCAGTCCGGCCAAACAAGTCTATCTATTCAACAAAAGCCAAAAATACTACCGTATTTTCTCATACCAAAGTACTACCCGTTCGTTCGTTGGACTAAGTCACTACAATGATCCTTGTGTGTATCGTCCCTTCCTGATACCGGAGCTTTTAGCCGTTTCTCATGTCACTAATTTGTATTCTCTTCCTAATTTACATACACCCGTATCCATGCGAACTAAGCATGTAATCTGATGCTATATACATTACTATATGATCTACCTCTTACAAGTGTTCAACCTGGCTAAACTTGGGTCATGGTCCGAGACCTGTGCAGCCTTCGTATTCCATGTATTGATATGCACCTATCATCGTCAGTAACCCATTTCACACCAATCATCACCTTATCTTCCCGCGTCGAGAGAGAAACTCACATGTTCGTACTTCGCACCCTTCTTCAATGGTCTACTGACTAGCATGTGATCCAGCTGTTGGCAATTCATATCATACAGATATGTATACCTCTCCTCAACCGGTATACCCACAACCTCATCCAAGTCCCAGGCAATATCTTTAAAAGCTTTCATGGGGCTCACATAACTGAACTCATTGAAGTCTCCTGCGGCGATTACGAGTGCACCTTCATTCTCAGCCTGCAACTCCTGAATGAATCCCGCCACAAGCTCCGCCTGCTTCTGGCGGTCATCTACACCACCATTTACCGGCGGCCGAGCATCACCGTACAGCGACGACGATCCGCCCTTAGAGCCAAAGTGCACATTGATTGCGTATACTGTCTCCCCACCCGCAGTATCGAATGCTGCCACCAGCGGCTTCCTTGAGTTTGTCCACGCCTCGTTTTCAGGGTCGATACGGCCAGGATTGAAGTTGAGCTCGCCGCCGGGGAGGATCTCGATCTTGTCGGAGCCTGAGCCAGGGTTAGGGTTGCGGAGGGAGAAGAGGTCAGGCTTGTAGAAGTATGCCACACGGATATTGCCTCCTGGTTGACCGCCATCTTTGTCGTCGACGGGGTCAATGGTGAGATAACTGTATTCTACGCCAGAAATCGCCTCGATTGCATCGGCGAGGGTTTGCAGAGTGATGTTTGCGGAAACCACGGCGGAGTTTGTGGCGCCGTCGTTGTCTTGAACTTCTTGCAGGAAGACGAAGTCGGGGGTATTTAGGTATGTTGCAATATGCTCGGCGACGAGAGGGAGGTGTGTAGAGTTTGGTGTGAGGTTCTCGACATTGTAGGAGCCGAATGTAAGGCCTGAGCAGGCGCCGGTGGAGGTGAGGGTTGTGGGTGGGGGAAGGAGGGGGAGCGCGTTAGACTTGACACTGAGGGCGGTGAGCGGGAGTATGCGGTAGAAGCCAAACGCGTAGGTTATGACACCTGTGATGTCGCCGAGGTCATCCCCGAGCTTTGTGGCGGCGTTGTCAGTGCCGTCTAGAGGGTCACCGATCACTGCAGCGGTCAATTAGCTTTATATCAATACTGGGTGAGATTGAGGAGCAGTACGGATGGCTTCAGGGTTCGCATCTGCGCCAACGCCGGGCACAATGGTTAACCCGCCTCGTGAGTTCTTTCCCGTAACTCTGTAGCTCCCACGAACCCAGACATCGCCATAATTATTTGACATTGAGACTGCTACTGGCGCCTTTACAGACACTAGCTCCCCGCTCAAGCTTTCCCAGAAATCCAATCCATACTTATCCTGCTGGAGTGTGGCATTGACCACTGACACCAAGCTTCTATTGTTCGGAACACCGAAAACATCGTTATCATCCAGCGCAGAGTACCGGTACGCCGGCGGAGACCTATCCACACCCAGGACTACTGGTTTGACCGCATTCCCCGACGAGATCTTTCGCACGTTTGTCGGCGATGTGATCTCAGTAAGATATAGGTAGTCCTTGCTGGATCGGTATTCCAAAACCTTGCCGTCAATCGTGACGATATCCCCCGCTGCGACGCTTCCTCTGATAGTGGCGGATGTGGTGAACACATATACCGAATTCGAAGTACGCACATCTCTATCAGGCGTGGTATCACGCAGGAAGAAACCAGAGGGGCCAACAGCAGTGACTAGACCGGTGACGTTGGTCACACTCTGGTTCTCGTAGGGAGACCTGAAGGCGGGGCCATTGATCGCAGAGATGGTCACGGCCGAAACAAGTGAGGGGAGGAAGCTTGGGGCGAAAAGAATGAACCTCATTATTGGCAACAAGAGAGTGAGTAGGTGGTTTTGCACGCGCTGGAACTCTGCGAATAGGCAGCAGTGTCTGCCAGTTTTATACCCTTCACCAAGGCGCACTCCCCTATATAATTGAGCTCTGGGATTAAGGATGTGGTCGCCACCACCGCGGGAACTTCAGGGCAAACATCGGGATGGGATGAGAAGGTGTAACTATGTTGAAAGTGTGAGCTCCAAGTCCACGTGCGGCTACAAGCAGAATTCACGAGCGCTGAACAGCAAGCCCCGCGTTTTACTATCAGCCGTAGACAGATATCTGCATGAGAAATCACCCAGGGCGCAATTAAGCTCTTGGCGAGATGATTGGGCGGATCTGAGTTCATCCCACCTGCCTGTTCCTGGAGACGATCTTTGTTGTCCAATCGAGTTATCTCGTGGTGCAGTTGGAGTAGAGATTATTAGAGTTGTTCCAAACAGGAATAGGAAGGTGAGATATCTAATAAATTATCTCGGAGCGCGGAGTCGACCGCCACCAGATAGATATGCAAGGTACGATAAGTATCTGGTTGGCTGGTGACAGGGGCTATGACCGCTGCTACTAAAGTACGTACAACAAGCAAGGGTGTTAAACAACCATTTAGTAGGACTGAGATGAAAGGGGCACTAGGACTAACAATATATATAGTGCTGCTGTTATATAGCCAATTGAGGCATCGGGATGGATATTTGGAACATATATTATCGGGTAAGGGGTTGCGCGATCGATCAGTCTAGGCGCATGATTCGGGGGGAGGATTATATCAATAAGCATTTTTACGCAGACGAGAAGCAGCCTGAGCCCAGAAGAAGATTACAGTTCAACGATACGGCGCAGTTGGAGATATATCGTCTTCATTCCGCTCCGGATGCACCCAGGCCAAGAAAAATAGTCTTGAGTGGTACCAAATTCTTTTAAAATCCCCAAAGTCCTTCAAGGCCTCGCAGAAAATGCGAACTTTTGCTATTCCTCCACCCAACTGATGCGAAGCTAAGGCCTTGGCGCATATGTCTCCTACCAGTGCCCAATTGTTTGACATTTAGGAGCCGTATTTTTTAACGACCTTATTGTGGTATTGAGTTCGAATTCAGAATATACACCAAAGGTTTAATATTGAACGTGACATTATGATGAAGCTTTTAAGGGCCTACTAAGTCTGCTGTTTGCCGCCGAGGGCTTGAGGATTTGAGAGCAATCTGAGATTATGTCATGCTGATGAAGAAATTTAAAAGAGGAAGAAATGAGTTTAGACCTCGTTTGAACAGATATTCATGTAGGGTATGAGTAATGTTAGCGATAACTTGGGAGTTACTTAACAGTGAACAGATATCATTATCGGAACTAAGAGACCCTCTACAACCTCGGACTAAAGCCGATGGAGAGAATAAATTCTATCGGAGCCTTGAAAGCTATGCTGGACACATTATTACCACTGACGATATTGAGGTTTCAACTTAACTATAATTTGCTAAACTTTAATAACCTACTACTCGTGATATCCTAGGCCTGCAGAAGCAGAAATGTACTATATGTCCCGCGAGTGAGGGTTTGTGACTTCAATACCTCATCAGCACTACGAACTTAAGCTGTTGGGTAGATATTAGATAATTATGAAGTAGACAAGATGAGAAAGATAAGGGGGAAAGACTCAATCTTTATGATCCTTCAGTGAACGTCCCTATTCAGGGAAGTTCAAAACCACACGCATCGTCCAGGTTTCGCTGGCAGGGGGCATTTACTCTATAGTTTATAGCCCATTCAATGTTATTAAATAAAGAGATAGATATTCTAAAACATCGAACACCTGGTATGAGTTTATATGTACCAGTAGTTGATAGCAGTACCCTATGTATAATCAGACCTCCTATATACCCCCACCCACCCGGCCCGCACACAAAGCTCGCCACCCTACACAATAGATATAAAGGAACCAACACCTATTGGTAAACATCTGTATTTGTCCCTCAAGGATTCCGGCTGATGGAAGCCATTATCACTCAATTTTCGCTGCACCTACAAATGTCTGCCACAATAGCATAAGGTTAATGGCTAAACACTAAAGTACAGCGATGGGTAATAAGTGATGGAACGGGCTGAGACACAGTGATACCTGGTTTGGGTAAAACGCCACTAATATACGGTACTTGCAGGTATAACTATATCTCAGGGCGTTCCATCGCTTATTACCCACCGCTGTACATGTACTCATATATATGGTTAGATAAAGTGATAATTGAGCTGCACTGCAAGAAGACTATATACAAAAATCAAATAAAAGTCACTTCTCTTTATAAATTTATAACTGCTATGTTATTGATTTGGTCATCAAGGAGTTAATAAACAACAACAATACATCTATTCGGTCATATTCCTGCGGTGGAGACACCGACTAGAGCGAGGGGACAGTGGGGCGCGCGCGGGGCGAACCAAGGGAGCTGGAAATAGGTTGAGGTAACCTAAGGGAAGGATGAAACGAGGGTTAGAATAGGAGAAAAGGACTAACGGCTTATAATTATAGGAAGGGAAGAATGAGTTAAAAAGGCATCGACATTTAGTAGCGCTTTTCTTTGGATGGGATTTTCTGTTTTGTCGTTTTATCTGTTTCATTATGTAATTTCGTTTTGGTTTGTCAGATATTGTCATAACCTCCGGGTTGCATACAATTAATGAAGTATCAATCGATCAATCTATCTATTCAATCATAACCTATCACTCGGCACAAGCAATGCCAGCTAGAAGTTTGTAATATGACTCCCTATCAAAAAAAGAAAAGTTATTTTCTTATATCGAATTTTATTTTATTTTTTCTGGAAGTTGGTTAATGGCCACTTGGATATTGTGAATATGTATATGGGTCGACTCGAATTAACTTTATCCTGCCATTGATGCTTTCATTTCCCAGTTGACCGGTTGAGTCCAATCTGATTCATAGGGTGCTCCTCCCGGGGGTGATTGTTAAGACTAGCAGACCCACCTACTTTCGGATCTCCAAACTTTATTCGGATGAGGCTGAGATTCTTAATCTCTCGGCCGGGCAACTGTGTGAGCTCCGAAGAGTACCCGGGAAAAATCGTACTTACAACTTTAAGCATGCATCATGCAGGCCGAAGAAATATAATGGATTTTTTTCGCTCGAATTCCCCACTGAGAGTTGGTCTCTTCATATTGCCGACGACAACGCCGGTCATAGAGGATAACACTAACTGTTCCTGTCTAGATGACGGCCTGAGATATCATCGAGACGCCGGACCGCGTTTACGTGTCAAACCGATATCACAAACCAAACCACAGTATGAGAAAAGCTAGCAGATAAAAGTTGGATGCGTAGGTTCTATACGTAAGTACACATATATCCCTCGTATATACATACATCTTACCCCTAGAGAATATACCACACACTCTCGATCCCCAGTATTGCCAATATGTCGACTAGCTCACTGAAAACTATACACATGCCGTTGCTGATTCGTCAATTAGACAAGGATTGTCATTGAAAGATATCTAGAGATACAGCTAGTGAGTTGATTCCCATCACACCTCAGACATCATTGTTGGTTCCTTTGAATAATATCCACTGACGCTATTAGTAGTATCTCCTAAGTGAACTAGGACGAAGTTCAAAGCTAAAAGCAGATTCTTCTGGAAGATACCGTATATAGGCAACCTACGCACAGTTCCTTCTACTACAGTCCTCGGCGTCAATCACTGAACATACAAAAACGATTCGAGCGACAGATTTTCTTTTCCTCATCACATCCCCCACAGTACGCTATAATATCAAGGGAACTGTTTTATCTGTAAGACTAATTGTCCCACCAACAAACTATGTGGGGTTTGTTTGATGAGTTGGAAAAAACAATTTTAAAGTGCAGATCGACAATCTTGTGCAGGAAAACCTCGTGACCCGCGAGATCGAAGGACCTTGAAGCCATCGATGGATTCATTCGAGACACGGAGGTGAACATCGGTGGAGACTATATAAGTACATATTATTGAGCTAGGCGCACCTACCCCAGGAGACCTCCTCTCAAAGTTATTATTCGTGTGGGTTAATTCCTCTGCTTTATTGATTTACAAACTCCACGCCAAAACTAAATTGGCTTTAGATTCCCGCACTATAAACCCCATTCAACTATGTTCCTCTTTAAAAAATAGGAACTTGGTCAAAGGCAGGGTGATTCCGGAAGCATCATCCTGTTCTTTATCACATAGGTACTCCACAATGAGGGGTACCTGAGGACAAGTGCCGCCAATATCAATAAACCAGCTGATGAATCAAGTTCGTCAGGATTGGCCTATTAGAATTAAAGGAATTACTAAAACTGATATATCAACCCGGCAATATAGATACTATTTCGGAGATAAACATCAACCAGAAATAGCCTTTGACTCTCGCGGAGGCCTGGCCTGGCCGGGGTCGGTGTCGTTCCGAACCCCCCCCCCCCCCCCCCCCCAATTCCCACATTCACGATCCCGCCCCGCCCCATACTCTTTCACTGACGTGCAGCGACTGAAAGAAATTAACGCTTTTACCGCGTGACAATGAAACACATTTATATACTCTCAATTTATGGGTACACATATTGGCCGTATACGTGCGTACTCTAGACGTTCAGCCCCCGGCGCTGTCTGTCAAAAACAAACATCGACAAAATCCCAACAAACAATGCTCCGGGGGAATTTGCTTTTTATGTACTGATAAGAGTTGGCCGGTCGGTCGGCCTTTTCGGAAATAACCTTTGACCCCGCCCTAGGTAGCGGTCCGTCTCTCGCTCTCTTCTCTTCCTTTTTTCTTCCCTGCATTAAATTAAACATGATCTACAGTACATTGATGCTTCAGCATCCAAGAAATGGGATAGTTACACGTTACAACAATGACATAGAGTTGGTATCGACGGGTGAGTGACAATTCGTGAGCTACGACCACTCACTCTGGCGTGACGGTGGTACCTACATAAGTTGCCCGAAGACATGCATCTGACCAGCTGAGAGGCCTTGAGCGGCACGATTCGAAATCTAAAACAACATGAACGCATGATACCGTGACCGGGAGGGCAAAGTAAGTATTAAGTCGAGAAGGCAAAACGGAAATGCAGTTTCCCGGCGAATATGTCCTGTCGAGGAAAAGAGGATGCAGCACCCAGTCAGTGCCTGTGCACAGCATCGTCAAGCACACCAATTGTAGAAATGGTGGTACGGTATGTTACATTCTTAGTAATTTGTCACGCTGTGTCATTCATGTCTCAGACGCCACAGCCGGGGAAAGGAAAGAATACTTGGTTACTGGAAGCAAGCAAGCAGGCAAAGCAAAGCGCCAACGCGTATCTAAGACCATGGACCTGAGAGGAGCCAGATGGATTGACAACCGGGCTGCCGTCTGTGCGATATGATGTTAGTACGCGGTAGGCTGGGATACTAGATGGAAGGGGAATGGTGGATGCGTAGGGATATAACATCGTCCCGCTGCCTGGATCCTGGGGAATTAAAAAAGAAATATCTATAAAGAGCGAGTGAACCTGTTCTCTATCTCTCATACTTGGTCGACTTTCGCTTGATATAAGATACGACTTCGCTTGAATATACAATACGACTTCGCTTAGATCTAATAGCTTTGCGTACTTTTTGAGTACTTATTATTTATCACCAATTTTCTCGCCGTATTCCACGCCCACCTCAAAGTTCAGGAGGTCCAGCCCGACTTTCAGCCCGAGTACACAATATGAGGTATGCACCTACATCCTGTCTTTTCTCCACACCCTAACTAATCCTTCCCTCAGTACAATCCACGGGCCCATAGTAACCCTCCTCGCCGGCCGCGACCGCAAGCCCTTCAAAGTGCACCGCGAAATCCTGATCGCCAAATCCCCATACTTCTCCCGCCTGCTCCCTACCCCACAATCCGAGAACCAAAATCTCGCTCTCGACGCAGACCCGTCAACTATTGCCCTTTTCGTAAACTTTCTCTACTGGCAACACTACACGCTCCCCCACAACTGCAGCGAGAAATCCGAGCAGCTCTCCACACATGCTCGGCTATATATCCTGGGCCTGCGATTTCGTATAGCAAGGCTCATGGAAGAGGCGCTACTCAAGATCTACCTCCTCGTAAAAGACGAGACACGTTGCGATGATCGGCGGCTAGAGCTGGTGAAGGAGGTCTACACAAGCATATCCGCACCAGAGGACGAGCTGAAGCGGATGCTAGCCGCCACCGTGGCGGCGAGGTGGGAAGACTACAGGTGGGATTTCAGGGAAGCAGATAGTGAGGTGGGCATGCTTATGGAGGAGTTTCCCGGATTCATGAGGGAGGTTTTGGGGAGGTTGTGCGGAGGCTCTGCAGTAGGTCCGCCACAACATTTAGTGCAGGTTAGGAGCATGAAGCGGAAAAAGGAGGATTGTGATTAAGCTTCTCGGGTATGGTGGGGAATGCAAAGCAAATAAAAAAAAAGCAACATAAATACAAAAACACAAAGGGAAGGGGGGGTGACCGAAAAAATTATACCGTGGATTGGCTATTGGCAGGAAAGATCGAGATCTCGGGTATGTAGGACTAGTTGGTTGTTCTTTTTAATGGGGTTCTACTGGTTTGGCGTGCTTGTATTATTATTACTATTACTATCGTTATTATTATTTCTACACTTTTGGCAAATGCATATTACTGGGTGTGAGTTGATGGATGACCAGCTCCACACATAAGCTGGGCGACCACCTGTCATGTCAACATCGGTCGATCTCATCCCTCCCGTGTGATCATAGAATCTCACTCGTTCAGCCCTCTCAACCTTTACGCGCCTTTAGGCAGAGGGGGAAAAAGTGATCTCAGGTTCGTGGAAGAGGATAGGCACGGCAACTACGGAACTATATGAACCTCCCATAAAGTAATCACCATTCCGCAAAGTAAAGTACACGAGAGAACCCCTTTCATGGCCCGTAGAGTAGCACATCCTCTGCCCTCTACATACTCTGCAGCACAAAATAGACCGTGAGATTGGTGGCTTTCGCCCCGTCACCTGTAAGGGCAACGCACTGACCTCGATAGAATAGCCCTTGACGTATGCCGAGGAAGTTGACATCATAACCCGCGAACCAACCCGGTCTATTCTCTTAAAATTACTACGAAGGCCCCAAAATTAGGGTAGGACGAGACAGCGGGGTCCTGCGAACGCTTCAACCATCGCGTGTGAACTCCGGAAAAAGGGGGGGTTGGATAGGGTTTTACTATTCTGGCACGTGCCTACGAGACATCCCATTGGGCGGTTGCGCGCACCCAGAGGCCTGGTCAGTGGTTAGTGATCTCCGAGATGGGTAAGAGAGATAAAATTCCCTGAAAATGGCAAAAGTCTCGACTCTACGAAATCCTGGCACATCTGTACCAGATGTCTTTAGGAAATTTCGGTAATTCGGCGATCAATTAGCGGAGCCTAATGTAATGATGATTATTAGGGTACTAACCTCAATAGAGCAAAAGGGAAGTTGTGCTTCTAGAGTAGAGTGCATAAGTACTTTACTCCAAAAACCGAGGTTCCTAAAGTCCATTTTCAAGTGCGAGATCTGAGACATGGGGGGGTGCCCGTGTGATACTATTGGACCCTGGTCTAACTGTTTAGGTTTCTTGGCGACCGGCTTGGTCACAACTTATCACTCAGTCAATATTGGGGGGGATTGCCTATTTTCGGACCCGAGGGAGTTCCCGAGAGAAACCCGTTCGAGAAAACGGCTCTTGAGCTCCATCGACGTCATCTAACCCCCCTAAGCTCGCCATTCGGATACCTATAATTATCGGCATAACGGTTTGCCGACCAGAAGAAATCATGGCAAAGCACGGAGTCAAAATCGGGATTGTTTACGCCTATATCGCGGCGGGGGGCCCCCCAGTCGCCGACCAGAGATGATTACGCGGCGGAAGGGCACTCCCCCACACTTGAAGTTTCATCCTCATCGGTTTTATTTTCCCAGATTTGAGGGCCGATACGGTACGGTCGGGCGAGATTTCCGCGGTGGCTCCACCAGAGGGGGTTATATCAATTCGCGATGTCTCAAATATAAGTTCTTTATAAGCTCTGATATGCCCCCCCTCTCCACTCCCTTGTGTCAGCAATGGCCCAAATATCGTACTGTACAAGAAAGGGGACCGGAATACATACTGAATGCAGCAACAAGTTAACTGGAGCCTTCGAGTTAAATATGCGTTCTGGTCAGGGACTTGTGCCATGAGAGCAACACCGAAGGCTAGACAGAATGAACCGGCCGGCAGCGGTTTCATCCACACTCCTGGTAATAGAGTACAGAATTTGGAATCGACGGGTAGCGAATTTTGACAAGAGGTCTGGGTTCTCCGTTAACTATTCTCGTGACAAGCTCTGGCTGATTGGCTCGGGTAGCTAGCAGTGTAAGGAGAGAGGACCAAGTGTAGGGGGCTGAGACTTGTAGTAACACATCCATTCCAGCCACCTGTCTTGGATAGCAGCCACCTGTTCCATCTATCCTACTATCACCTTCGTACGGGCGATAGCCGTCGAGGTCCAAACATCTTCAGAGCTGATTAGATGCGGTGTAATAGTACTAATTATAATCTCTCATTTGATTACTACATACCAACAGTCCTTTACAAAAGTGCCACTTACACCCACCATTCTCCCCTCAACGTTCTAATCATAATACAAGTTAATACTACTGCGACCGTGACAACCATGTTAAAAAACCCATGTCACACATCATGCACCAACGCCCCTGGCTTAAGAGGGACGTCCCACAAAGTTACGCCTCAGGGACATTTGGAGCTCAAAGCTTAAGCTTAAATAGCCGGTGGAGGTGTCAAACCCGATATCTGCAAGGGGAGCTAGCTAGGCCTGTCACGCTTTGCTCTGAATCAAATAGCGAGAGTCAACATCCGCATATTCAACCCAGCTCTTTTCAGGCAAAGATTCCTAGGGGACCAAAGGACAAAAAAAAAAGGGGGGGGGTGGTGGGGTCCTCTGTGGGGCTTGTGTGTATTTTTTACTTGTTAACTTTGTTGGGGACGTTTAGATCTGGCCGGGACCTTGCTTGAAACGGTAACCGGTTTCGCCTCGGAGCTTCTTGCCTTGGGCTTGACGGGATTTGACTTCGGGGCCTGGGTGGGTTTTTTTTATGCACACTTGTCCTGGCTTGTGTATGCTTAAAAATTAGAGTTCAAGATAAAGATAGAGGGTTGAGCCATATTTGCGTTTGGTGTATCGCCAATGGGGTATCCTGGGAACCGCGAGTGATTGTGCGTGATCATGAATCCTGGTCCACAAGGAAAGTACCGGTCGGGGTGCAGCCAATGAATTGGCTGGATATCGGCCTGAGCACCACTGCGTTGACTGGTAGAGATCCCTGTTTGTCGTTCAACCAGTCAGCTTGTGCAGTTGTCGCTGCCCTAAAAATGTCTGCAACCTTTTTGAAGTTCATCCAAAGCCACAAAAAACATAGCATCAATCATGATCAGTGATTATATATAGGACAATACATGTACTTTTATACGATCAAACTCAATAGAAAAGAAGAGGGTGTGTGGGTGTATCAAATATCTGAAATAGCCAACTGTGTAAATATGATACCCTTATGAATTCGATCATAGACTATCACTCGTTTATCGAAGCGCTCGCGCTCGGTACCGGCGTTGTGCGCCGATTCTTCATGTATCGACAAAGATCACTCACAGATCAGCCCCTCTTGGAGGCTGTGATATCGATCAGTGTTAGTCCACAAGAGTTAAGGAGCCCGTGGCACCTGTGACGTTAAAGTCAAGTACTATATAGAAACGAAAGTCTTACCATAGTGTCAAACAGGATGTGTGTGCTCTAGTGTCTTATCTGATAGCGGATCATCGGCCAAAACAAAACCATTTCGGCATGTTCTTATCGCCATAAATATTCACCCCACCCCCCAAACTTTTTAAAACTCTATCGTGCCGCTTTTGGGTTAGTCTTTTAGTAGCACACTTTTCTTTCCGGGCTCTCGGTTTCAATTTTTTTTGAGCTGGGATCATGGCTCCATAACCGGTTCTATTTTTTAAGGGGGGCACGGGGACCGGCGAAGCCACGGCTGGAGTGATTCATGGTGGGTTAGGGTTTCTTTATTGTAAGTACATGACATTGTAGTTTTTCAGATAGGCTTTTTATTTTGAGTATAGATAAAGTTGACACTCCAATATTTGTTGCTTGACACTTTAATTTGTCAAGAAAAGAGTTTGCACCTAGTACCACGAGTAAGGACTTTTCTTTTTAAAAAAAAAATCTATTCCATATCGAAGTTTCGGCGGGGTCGGGGGCCGGGGGTTCAAAGCTTTCGCAGTTGAGGGTAACGTGAATCAGACATTGTGATCATTTACCCACAGGCTAGCTAGTCGAGTGACATCAGCGTCCTCAGTTCTACTATCATGTCTCACATGTCACTTGTCTCTAGGACTAAACGCCTAATGTATTGTTGATCCATACATAATCAGTGGTGAGACGGCGCCATGGGCATGTGTTGAAATCCCGGATCGGAGGCTTTTCAATAGCAAATGTTCGGCGTCTGTTTGAGGCGGAAGGCGGCTGGAGGGTGGGGTAAAAAAATAGTTTTTATATCGACAATGGTTATCACACACACTGCATGCAAGGAAGGTAAAAAAGAGCTTAGTAGCTATATAGGTGTCACCACAAACATTAAACTTCTGGATTTTTGCGGTGATTATTAGATCTGTAGACATCGATATTCGGCTGGGTCAACATCCGGTAAGACCCTCCGAGAAGAAAATCCGGGAATGGGAATGAATTTTTGTAAACACCCCCCGAGCTCACCCGAATCACCAACCCAGCCCATAAAGCAACTGCCAAGAACGAGTGATGGCACATGAACAACAACCCACCGCGTACCGACTATCAACCGCCGAACTATCAAAAAAACCGGATACCTGGACGGTTCTTACCCTTGTCTTGGTCTTTGGTGTTTCCGCTTTGTTGATGGTTTATCTCAGCTGCAGCTCTCGGTACCCCCGAATCTACTGTGGAAGGCGCATATTACGAGTTGTGGATTCTACTCGGGCTAGTGATTAGGATATTCCCAGGCTCTAGATTACAATTACAAGCACTAATATGGAGGTCAATTATTTAGTACGGAGAGGATAAGAAGAATCGAAATCTTTATGTTCTTTAGATATGGCATAACTACATATATTCCGAATCACATCACCCAGCAAATCCTACAAAGTCTTCAAAACACATAACAGTTAGCTAGCAATGGATATATGAAATCAACCTCCGCATCTACAGCTTACTCTCCTTCTTACCCAGCCAATTAAACTCCAGCTTACTCTCGCTCCCACTCTCAATAATCAGATTAATTACGCTGGGCCCCTGCCCATACGCCCACGCCTCCTTCACCGCACGCTCCAACTCCTCTTCAGTCCTCACCTTCCACCCTCTGCCCCCGAGCCCCTCCGCCACCACATCATACCCCGTCTCAAAGCTCAACGCCGTCGACGGCAACAACTGCGCACTTCTCCTCCCCTCCTTATCAGCGTCCCACACCTCCGTCCCCCACGCAGGTGAATTATCGCTGGTCCCACGATACACCCCGCCGTTATTGACCACCACCACAATGATGGGCAGCCGGTACCGGCTCATCGTCTCGATCTCCGGCAGCGAGAACCCGAATGCGCTGTCTCCCTCGATGGCGACAACGCGCTTACGGGTACTGGTCCTCGTCTCGCGCGTGTGGTTGTAGGCGATCTCGGCCGCGATCGCATATCCGAGCCCCACGCCCATGGTGGCATATGTCCCCGCGTCGAGGCGCTGCCGCGGCTTGGTGACGCTGAAGATGCTGCGCGAGATGTCCATCGTGTTTGCGCCCTCCGAGACATAGACGATATCGTCCGGGGAGCCGCCCGCAAGCTTCTCCAGGTGCTCGCGGAGCAGCGTGAACGAGCGGTGGTAGCCCAGCGGGTTCTTGACGATTGCGGCCTTCTTATCAGCGGCAGCTACGTTCTTCGCCGACGAAGCGGAGAGCAGCCCGTGCCATGAGGCGTCGCTGTAGCGCCACCCAGAGAGCGCACTGTGGAGTTGTGTGACGACTTCAGTGATGTCACCCGTCACGGAGAGGGCGGGGTCTGTGCTGCCGCGGCCGAGCTCCTCGGGCGAGATGTCGACCTGCGCGATCCGCACGGTGGAAGACCATTTCGGCGTCTCGCCAAAGTGGAGGATCCAGTTGAGGCGCGCGCCGAGGAGGACTGCGACGTCGGTGTTCTTGAGAGCTGCAGAGCGCGCGGTGGCGATGTTGAGCGGGTGGTTGTCGGATAGGACGCCCTTTCCCTGCGGAGTGGGGAGGAAGGGGATGTTGGTGGCTTCGATGAACTTGTGAAGGATATTTTCGGAGCGCGCGTAGGCGCAGCCTTTGCCAATGATTATGAGCGGCTTTTTTGCGCCTCTGAGCGCATCGGCGAGGGCCCGGATTTGAGCGGGTGAGCCACTGACGCGGGGCTGGGGATGGACCGGAGAGATTGTAATTTTCTCTCTGGGGGTGCCTTGGATGAAGTCTGCGGGGAGATCCACGAAGCCCACGCCTGGCCGGCCCCAGAAAGCGGTGCGGTATGCCTCTCGAATGCTCTCCGGGAGCTGTTCCAAGCTCGGGGGTCTCACTGCGAGCTTTGTATGCGGCGCCAGCAGCGATACGGCATCAAGCTGTTGGAAGGCGCCTTTTGTAGGGCCGGCGGTAGTCTCTGAGCTCCCTGCCAGCAGCAGGAGTGGGAATGTCGCGTTGACAGTCGAGTTTCCAACCTATTTCCATATTAGACAAATCATTCAAAACCCTAACCCTGGGGACTCACTCCGGCCATTGCGTGTAGTACTCCGGGGCCACCGACAACGAGGCAGACGCCCGGTCGGCCAGTGAGGAATCCATAGGCGCTTGCAGCGTAGGACGCTGCTTGCTCGTTCCGGAAGGAAACAAACTTGATGCCGAGGGCGATACAGGCTTCGGCGACCTCGATGACGGGAATGCCGACGATGCCGAAAATGACCTTGACGCCGAGGGAGTAGAGGGACTGGGCAATCAGCTGTGAGCCAGTGTCTGGGGATGCCATGTTTTGCTCTGTGACTGTCTTTTGCGGATTTTCAAAGGGAGAATTTGTCGGGAGAGGACTGGCTGGGTGTTGTAGGTTTGATATCTGATATGGTATCTGATATGGGGGATTAGAATTGGATGTCGTGTCGCGCCGGGGGAATGACGGAATGACGCTATGGCTCGCTTGCGTGGGGCAAAGCCGATCGTCCCGCGGTAAGCTTAACTACAGCCGAGGTCTGGGGTATGTAGAGTGAGAGAGAGCTATATTATCATTATTATTGATTGCTGTGTGCGGTGTGGGCTGGTTATATTAACTCGTTGGTATTTCCGTTACTCATGCGTGCATTGGTTGGTTGGTGATACTCTACCGTGGTGGTGATGGCGGGTGGATGAATGGATGCTTTGTGTTGCACAAGTGCCCTTCGTACCTGCCTGATCCAATCCACTCCCCCCCCTGCCGGTTCATCGATTATCACTCTGCTTCGTTTCAAGTGACACAAGTGCATGGTGGGTTTCCTATATATTGGAAGGTGGCTACATAGCTAATAGTAGTGAGTATTCTCTCGAAAAAAATATTAGACTCTTCCTCCGGAAGGGAAGAAAGCACTGGTTGGATAGCTCAAGCCCTGTCTGGCAATCGAAGGTCAGCGAAGTTTCCTCACGGGATGCGTGCACATATGTTAATCACTATCTAAGCAAATCTCACCTACCTATGAATACCCATAGCATCGCGAGTACTATCAAGTCCTCAAGCGGCAGCACACCTTAAGCTTTCCCACCACCACCACCCCCTCCTCCACTGCACCCCCAATAGCAATAATAGCTGCAATCACTTCTCCCACAAACCCCACCTTCAACAGCCCTCTCATACATCGACACCCCAGCACAGTCACCCTTACCGTTCCCTATATATGGTGCAGCTCGATCAGTATTACCCCGTGATGTGGTTTGGAGACGTAACGTGCCTTGGGAGCAGCAGGATACGACGTACTTGACTTCACAGTTGCAGCCGGTGTATTTGATCACTTTGAAGTGACACATTGTCGGGTCTGTCTGCTTCTAACTCATTGGCGACAGACAGCAAGAGATGGCGGGTTTCTCTTGGAGGTGGCATAACGGCCGACGGTGGACGAGCGTGTAAAAGGGGGAACCAGCTTATTTTATCGGCATCCGTCGTCATATTGGTAAATGGAAGCTTTAAACCTTTTTTTTAACGCCGCGGAGCGATTAATTAGCGGGGTCGGCCTAGACGCACTGTAATAGCAGCTGAATCTATGTACAGTCTACCTCCGCTATATATACTGAATGCCAATAAAGCCACAAATCTGCTATTACGAACGGGTTTTGGTGATCCGAATTTCAATTTCACATAGAAAATGATGGAATTTTATCTGCTGTACCGAATAATCTACTGTATCGAACGAGGAATTTTGGAATATGCAGGTTCGTTATAGCGGAGGGAGACTGTACAAGGCGGAGGGAGGTTCCGAACAGCCCTAGCTATGTAGGTAGAGTGAGATATGGGGAAATGACTCTGCATGTGGGGGCAGCCCGAATTTTGTGGCCGATTGGCGATGTATCGATTGCTGGTCTAGTCCGTGACGGGTGTAGTGTGTTGTGGAAACGATCTCACATAAGGCCCAAAGCCCAAGAGGCGTGAGTCAGTCAGTCATCGGTCATCGGTCCGATAATCAAAACTTACTTTGCTAGCTCCTTGCGATAAAGTTTATATGAAGTTTTGAATGGGACTGTACGGCGTTGTGTGTTCCAGTGGCTATGACGAGATCAAGCTATTGGCTGAGAAGGAAGATGGTAGGTAATGTATTGATAGGACTACTAGAGTTTCTAGCTTTATAATGAGAATTCCGGCTGAAATGATATCAACTTTGTCGGATTTTCTCACTCGCTCCTAAAGTCTATGTAAGTGGTCGGGAAATAAGCCGAGAGGAATGTAGGTCATTTCCAACCCCATGGTTCCTTCACCTTGGGGCCGGACATGTGAATAGATGGAGGATGACTATGGACACACCGAATTATACAAAGGTGCTTCTAGAAACGTCAAAGGGGTGATGAGTAGGATGAGCTCGACTTTTGATAACTTGAACATGCCAACTTGAAGAATACCCCGAGATTCATCTATTACCCCTTCAAATATCTACAGGACAACCAAATGGCCCGTATCTGCTTCGATCTCGCTTCGTCGCCAAGAATGATAGGTCATCACTCGGCCTTGGCGCCATAAGTCGCGAAATGATATTCTACTTATTATTTAATTATTAAAACTCCCTACTAGTCAATCCGATCACTCGTGGAGATTGAAGAGAAAACAGATATTTCTTTTGTGTTTAGTCACGCAGGTGTGACGTATTGCGATGTTTATTCAGCTAGTGTGTGGGGGTTAGGTGATAAAGGGAGAAGGTAGATATGTAATACCGGAGAGAGTGTGTAAAATACTGAAACGAAAAAAAACTGGAAAATAAAGCCTGCGTAAGAATCCCGCCACTTATTTTTTATCTTAATTCCAAATTAACCTCATCCAGTTCCTCCACCGAGCCCTCACACGGGTCCCTATCATATGTGATAGTTATACCAGTATAGCTCCTCTCCAGAACTTGAGCGACGAAGACCGCTGTACCGATGCTGAGTAGTCTGAGAAAGGCCTCAGAACCACCATCTTTAGACTTACGAATAGCAGCGTGTTCAAATTCGAGATTGCTGTGGTTCATGTGTCCCTCGATAATTCCGAGAAATTCTCCTAGCATGGTGCCGTTTGGTAACGACTCGATGTGCAAGCACCGGGTGCGAGAACCATGATGACCCAACGAGCGGATATTTTCCACGATGTCAGGTCTGATGTTTTCTGCAAAAACGACGCGCTGGTTCATTTCAACAGTAAGGCCAGGGGATTTGAGATAACTTTGATAGCTTTTGACTGAGTCCGGGTCGACGAATACAATTATTGCACTCGAAGTGTTGTATTCACTGTTTGGAGGCTTCAGATCGACGTGCTCCACCATTCCCCCACGGATGAAGCGGAAAAGACGAGCAACATGAAAAGTGCGAGGAAGATTCTTCAAATGAACTATACGATCAATCAAAGGAGGCTCTGGCCAAATATTTTCAATCTTCGGCTTTTCATCGGGAATATTAAGGGCTTCCGGCATCCTGCGAGCTTTTTTGGTGATGGCTTCGTTATATTCACGTGCCACTTCCTGTCCCCCATAGTTCCAATGAGCGCCTAGTGGGGGCTGTGAAGCCTTTGTGGAGAGGCCTACCCCCCAGTTGTCATAAGTGATCTGCTCAAGCATCGCTGGTGACGGAGTATCTTGGATAGCGCTCTTTTGGATCTGGGCCTTTTGTGGAATGATTTTGTCAGGAGCAATATTGGGATTGGATTCTCCAGGTGACTTTCGTGTTTTCTTCTTTGGGATTGAAAACCCTTTGAACGCAATAGAGATGTCTGCTACTGGAGGAGCACTGGCTGTGGCATGTGGGTTTCCTGGTAATTTTTCTACAGGAACGGGCTGACTTTTGTCATCAAACTGATTCCACAAAGCCACGATATCGGCACGGACATTCGTCGTCGGCTTCTTTGGAGCAGCAGTGCATGCAAGTGGTGCTGATCTGTTGAGCGCTTGTGATTTTATTGCTGGCGACGGGACTGCTGGCTTATCATTCCCAATTTCCTTTCCACCTGTCCAACAGCTAGGTGGTTCATTGCTTATTAAACCCCCACATGGATCTTTGTCATATGACACAGAAACTCTGGAATAGAGCGGCGAATATGTAGATAAATCTTTGCCTACTCTGAAAGCATACTGAATGCAGGAGAACCCAATGCGTACGAATACGCTAGTACTTGATAAATCCCGATCGGTTGAAGTTCCTTCGATAATATATTTTGTCTCAACGGCTGGCAAACCTAAGAGCTCCATAACATCTTCGATGAGCCTCATAACTCCTATGTCTCTGGGGAAATTACTGATTATTAGGCAACGAGTGATGCCGTGTTTCCATATGTTTTGAATCATATGCACGGGAATCTCGCACGAATGATTAGTCCATATGAACCCACGAAGGTTACACTGAATCAATCTTTCTTTCAAGGAAAACTGAGCCGCGGGGATCTCTGTATGCACAAAGAAGCCAATTCTGTGAATGTGATTGTAGAACCTCCTGGCAGCCTCGGGCTCCACGAAAACCAGTCGAGCCGACAAGTCATACGAATCAATGAGGGCTTTCTCAAGCAGTCCACCCCTGACCTGTCGAAGGAGGCTAGACAATGTGATATCATTCGGAAGATTATAAACAACCACTTCCCTGGTGTATTCGTAATTGTATATGCGATTATTATCCGAGAGGTGTGTTAGTGGCTCAGCAGGTGTTGATTTTAGAATGGAGACCAAAGGTTTATTCACGTCGACTTTAGTGGCCTGAGATTCGGGCTTCATCGGGTTCGAGGTTAATACGTCGCAAAAACGAATAGACTTTTTGTGATGGAGTTCGGGCTCCTCCAGACGGCTTGGTTCTTTTGGTGAAATTACCATTGGAGATGCAGTAGCTTTCGAGCCTCTACTCCTGAGTGCGGTAGGAGACGAAATTCTATGACTAGCCTTTGGCACTCTGTTAGGCATGTTTTGAGAGGCTTTGGTAACCTTTGCTTGTTTTTCTTTCGCTGAAAGGTTGACTGTAGGTGGAACGCTCGGAGAAGGTTTATTGATGACCGGAGTCTCCACAATTTTGGCCAAAGCTTCCTGAGTGTGGGTTTCAAGGCTAATTTTCGGTCTAGTTTGCGGCGTTTTATCAACGGTATGCTCTACCTTGCGAGAGGTAATGTCACCCTGACACCTCTCTTTCAGGGTTTGAAACTGCATCTCTTTGATTCCTGGAATTAGGATAGAACTTTCATCATTTCCTGGCTCATTCATAGCCTTTACTTGGTTCTTGGTGATATCAGATGCCTCAAGGTTGCCCCCCCCGCCTTTAGACTTTGGCATGAAAACAACATCATCCATAGGGTCAAAAGACGAAAGGATGCGCTCATTTTCAGATATGAACTTACTTGAGGGCTGAATGCGGGCGCTATCATCCATACCTGTCGGCTTAAGATGCATCCATTCAACTGACCTTTGAGACCGGATTATACGCCCTGCAGGACTTGTTAACGTAACGGGAATCAAGGGGGCCGTGTTATGACCATAGGGATCGGAGCTTCGTGGGGTTGAGGGATTAGAAAAAAGCTTCGAATGTGGGGAAATAGAGGATCCAGTTCCCGTGCAGCTGGCAGGAGATAACGCGGAGTCTTTTCGTCGCGCGACATAGGCGGCCTCCTGTGAAGTCCGAAGGTCCAGCATAGAAGCAGAAGACTGTGGTATATGTTGCCTGTCCTGAAATATTTCGTCCCTCTCATCTATTTCCGAATTTTTTTCCTCAAACAGATCAACTAAAACTTCATGACTGTTGGCCTTTTCTTTTGTTTTGGCAATAGCTTGCACCTTATAATTCATAGGGGTTTTGATTGTGCTCGTCGAGAAATGATCTCCAGTGACAGTTGAAGTACCATCTTCCCCCAGGTATCTAGATTCGGTTTTGATGTTGCCAATAGCCCGCGGGATATTTCCCGGCGAAGTTGGGGTAGGGGGGGTTTGAAAATTGCACAAACGAAGATTTGGTGTTGAATTGATTTCTTTTGCGAACTCTATTTAACCATTAGTAAAAAATCCTGACAATATTGCTAGAAGACAATTCCAGATATACCTTCCCACCCCTCTTCATCATCACTACAAGTACTCTCCTTTTCAATACCTTTCTCACTGGGCACAAGTCGAGTTTCTTTAGAGGCCGTTTCACGCTCAATTCCCCAGGCTGTCAGCGCCTCATCACTCCGAACGGTTTCAACATCGCTCAAAACATCATCCTGCTCAGGATCAAAATCCTCCGGGACATCATAGTTCAAGCGTCCACTGGACCTTGCACTGTTTCTCTGGTTTACCCAGAAATCTGTTGTTCCATATTGATCCTGCTCAACACTTGAAATAGCTTGGGCCTTGAGCGAGTTGTTTGAAGATCTTAGACGACTGGAATACTTGAATCCCGATTCTGATTCGCTAACCACACCAATATGGATATCGCCTTCATGGTCTGAATGCTTATTAACACCAACTTTTTGGTCTTCTGCTTCGACATGTTCACTATCTGAAAAAGCGTCCTCCACTTCGAAGATCCGAATCGTGCTGCAATCTGATACAGAATCGTCACTTTCATCCAGTGTAACATCATTCTCTGAAGCGGTGTTGTCTGCAAATTTATGCCAGAGAATATCAATAATCTGCAACCTGAAGAGACTGAGGTGTTATATTCGACTTACATGAAATGTCGGACGATGTTTCAAGCCCCACGCAGTCGAAGGATTCTTCTGGTTGTGAATTGGCCGGGACAATATCAGTCTTAGGCCCCTCAGTAGTAGCGGTTTGATCTGACGGCAAAGAAGAGACGGACACAGAATCATCAGCAACACTGCCATCATGTCGTACATTTGAGTCCGGGGATGGGACTGATGAAATTGAAGTAAGGCTTCCTGCTCCTATAATTAGTTCGATATTGTGACCGTTCCCAGTTGATGATGATGCATGGCCCTGGTAACTCCGGTAACTGACTGTTGCAGGAGGATTGAGGTGCATAGAGATGATGATATCCTTCAGCCTCTGATTCTCAATGGACAATCGCTCCATCTCATTTCTCACCCCCTCCCAATCCAATTGAGGAACAACAACTGTCCCTCGACTCACAGAGGGGTCTGGAGTGGATCTAAAGTGGTAGAAGAGTCTTCCAATCTGTAGGTTGTGAGGTGTTCCGAGCTCGTCCATGCTGCGCATGGCCGCCTGGTCATCGTTGTCCCCGCCGGTTTCACCTGACATTTTGATGATTGGGTCAGGATTTCGATGAAAGATGGGATGATATTTAATTGAAGTGGTTGGGGTGGTGAGGAGTGATGTTGCAAGCCTGGCTACGGAAGATTGCCACAAATTACCGTGCCGCGCACGATTGCGGTTCACTACATGCTATTATTTACCCCATGCGTCACTGCAAACTTAGCGGCTAGCCATCATTCAATGTCGTCCCTTCACATGAGCATATTTTTGAATAGTTTGAATCTTCTGTATTCTCACCCAGAGAATCAGAGGGTGTTGTATCTCAACTCTATTTGTGCCAATCGATGCCAAATGAAACTCGAGTGATATATCATGAAACACGCGCTGGCTAACATGCATACTTGGATGTAAGTATCAGAAACACTATTTCGTTGGAAACCTTCCCCATACACCTGTAAACATTTTTGTAAGTATTTGAGCTTTTGAACCCATACACAACATTTAAGTCATACAAGACTTATACAGTTACTTTGAAATAATGATCGGTCTTGGTTGTAGTGTCTGGCGTCCGAGCTCCTGCGCCTCTCTGGTCCCGCATTTCGGCGGGCATCGATTATCCTGCGCCGCCGATTTTTGGCAGCTATGAATCACCGTTATAAAAGGGTATTACATGCAGTATCTAAAATAATTTAGGTTTCGGCCCTTTTTCGCGCCCTGCGAGGTTGCATTTAGCTCTTTCACATCGTAAATCTTAAACCGTACATAGAATTGCTGACGAGTCAACCAAATTTCTCCCGTGAGCTACATGACATCATGTTCAGAGATCAGCAGTTGGGGTGGGGGGGAGGTGGTCTTATCGATAATAAAGAGACGCAAAAAAATATGTGGTGGAAGGGGTCCCGTGAGGGGTGCAGGAGGGCAGTGAGAGAGCATATGCAATTGCGCAAGCTAAATGCGTATAGAATCCTGGATGATTTCTCAATCAAAGAAGGTGCGAATCGATAACTTCAGGAGGTAATACCGGTGCATCGAATCAATAGGGAAAGTTGCTTTTCGTAAAGAGGGTTTTGGAAATTTGGTTTGATGGCGTGAAGGGAAAGAGAGATCTATTCAGAAAAAGAGCCAGAAATTTCTCAGAAGCTTCTATTTTGCAGAGGATTGGACCTAGGGTCTAGTGGATTATAAAGTGGTTCCTTGCTAGGAATTATACTAGGAGCTAAGCGCTCAATGAGAGAGACCCTCTAGAGCATGCAAATACCTACTGTTTTAGCACCGGGCAGTAAGATATACGAGCTGAGGGGGTAATGATGCGTCGACTTGTCTCAAGGCGAAGCACAAAGCTTTCTTGGCTTTATTAATCATACTGCGTGGGGAGAATAAAGACCTTGAGTAGTAGGGGATGTCGCTTCTGCCTAGCTAAAGGACCATGAAAAACGCAAACAGTCGACTTCCGCCCAATTATCTGACATCCAGGCTGGTACAACGTCGGTATCGGAGCAACGTTTGTTGAGCTGGGGCACAGCGGGTAAAGAGGGACCAAACCACCTTCGCCTAAAACCTCGAGTGACTGTCCATGACTATGTCACCGCTGCATGGACCACCGTCGATACCAGCTATCATAATATCTACATCCCCAACCAAGGCCTTCAATATAACCTCGCCCCCTCCCGGGCCAAAGTCCCTCCTTTCAGCTCTTCTCTCAGCCCTCTTCTCTGGGAACTCGGCAGGTTGAGTTAACACAGCCCGCATAACTGTCAAAATGTCATACCATGAGGTTCCGAGATTGCCGATTGCCGTTGTTTCCACGCACCCATCCGGGGTGGTTAATTAGGTAAACCAACGGGGATCGAAGTGCAGGAGATCCCCGACTTGGCGGTCTTAAGCTTAATTTATTTTATTTTCTGGAAGGCCATCCATGAGCTTTGAGGGGTGATTCGTGTTTGAAGGGGCGTGGAAGGGGCCGGTGGTAACGAGTGAGTGCGAGTCTGGTATCTGAGGAAGTTTGGGGTTTATTATAACTCACCATCAGGCGTGCTGATGCTATTGATCTGTGTTCAAAGCCATGTGTTCCCTGCCGGGGAACCATTCCAGTAAATACAGTGAAGCATCGTGTGAAGTTGTTGGTGGTTGCTCAAGGGCTAAATGCCGGTCGCCAAGTTGAGCCGTTACGCGTCACAGACTGGGCGTAGCTGTGCCAATGTAACTCCTCGGAAACGGCCAATAACACGAAATAGGTTTTTATTGATTACTATGACGTCCACGCACACATCGAAGCAGAAATCAAGACTTATGGAATGAGATTCAACGGTTTCGGATGTAATTCGTAAATCGGGAAGGTAACAGTGGCAGAAAATCTGTTTAGTTACTGGTGGACTGTGCCTTGTTGGAGAGCAGCCACGTAACGACTGTTTCTTTGGTTTCTTGGGAAACATATTCACCCAGTAGATATCCGGTAACAATGGTACTACATGTATGTACCCTGCCTCAGTTTATCGGAAATGACGACTTCGGATTTGGCAAATGGGCTAAAATATCCCACGCTGTCTCAAGCGTCCGTGTTCTGTCTTGGCTCAGTCACTGAACTGAACTTGGGGGCCTGCAAGATTTGTGGAGATGCAGTAGTATACAAACTAGAGGACAATTGCAGTCGCATCCATCATAAGTGTACTTGCCAATCTTGGTACTTACGGGTTACAAAGTCTTCTTCGGAATAGTATGTCTTCCTTCATCCCTTCTATATTTTCCGTCCGCCAGTCAATTGAGTTTTTTAGCATCCTCCCCAGCGCAAAACCCTACGGGAAAAAGAACAAGAAGAAGATATCAACTGTCCATGGCCACCGCTGCTACCACAACCACAACTGACCAAAACCGTAACTCTGAAGACAATGATATAGGACACCGTACGATCAGGGCTCGACATCGGCGAAATACTTCAGCGATAGAACAGGATCCTCGCTTCTATTCAGGGAGGAATCCGGTTCCGCGGATCGAGTCGTTGTGGACAGATGTATACGCAAATGAAAGAGAAAGCAGCCCAGAGGACAACGGGAAGAGGGAAGAAGAGCGAAAGAGAAAAGTAGTAGAGAACTCAAAGAAAGTAGTAGATCCTATAACGGGAAGAAGGTGAGTTTTTCTTCTGCGGAGTGGTAGTGCTCTGGATGCGGGTTCTAACAAGGCAGTGTCCAAATATGTGACGCAAAATATGCACCACCCCCAGAAATCGAGAAAACACACCCAGAAGTACACCCACCACAAGCATGGCACCAGTTCATGGAAGAGGTGAGTTTGCGTGTGAAAATGAGGCGAGTATTGAAATTTGACTAATAACCATAGCTCCGCGACCTAACCCTGAAATATATCGTCTTTGTAATGACCACCTTCATCATCCTCAATGGCTGTCTCCCTCTGCCATACTCGATCTCCATTTTCATCACCATCGCCGGTGGTGTAACCTGGTGGAGAAATGTTGAGAGCGTCTGGACGGACATCATCCACAACGCGCAAACCACCCAAGGAATCGACCGCATGCACATTCAGGGCACTGAAGGAAACGAGTCTGCTGAATGGCTCAACGGGACCATAGCGAAACTGTGGCCTCAAGTCAACGCAGATCTTTTTTCATCGATGGTGGATCTTCTCGAGGATGTGATGCAGGCATCGATACCATCGATTGTGAATGAGGTAAAGGTCACAAATGTGGGGCAGGGAACGAATCCCATCAGAATTTTATCACTGAGATGGTTAAATGAAAGCGAAGTTCCGGGTGGCCCGACGGAGTGGTTGAATGAGCAGGAAGAAGTGGGAGAGTGGGCGGCATTGGAAGTTGCATTTGCGTATAGGGCGAGCCCGAGTGGTTCAAGCGCTGCAAGCAAGGCGAAAAATGCAAATCTGTTGATACACCTCACGTTTGGTGTGAAGGGGGTGATGGGAACACCGATACGTATGCAAGATTTCCGGCATCAATATACTGAATATTGCTAATGCTCGATATAGCGGTTTGGGTTGAGCTTCGGGGATGCACAGGGATATGCCGTGTAAAAATTCAACTAATTCCAGATCCACCATTCGTCAAGCTAGCCACATTCTCCTTTATGGGTATGCCCAAAATCGAGATCGCTGCCGTCCCACTCAATCAGCGTTTCTTCAACGTCATGAACCTCCCCGTGATCTCAGACTTTATCAACAGTTCCATCAAAACTGCCGCAAAGGAATTCGTCGCTCCCTCAAACTACACACTAGACCTCTCCAAAATCTTAGTTGGCGAAGACACCAAGAAAGCGCTTCTCGCAATTGGCGTATTGGTGGTTCACATCAACTGTGCTGAGGCTATCAGGGCTGCGGATATCAACGGGAAGAGTGATTGTTATGTTACATTAAGCTACTCGAAATACGCAAAGCCGTTGTGGAGCACGAGGATTATTTTTGGTGATTTGAACCCTGTATGGGATGAGACTGCAGTGCTTCTGGTGAACGCAGATGAAGTTAAAGCGTCAGAGAAGTTGAGTGTGACACTGTGGGATTCGGATAGGTTTACGGCGGATGATATTGTTGGGAGGACTGAGGTGGATGTGACAGAATTGGTGAGGAACCGGGGACAATTGAGCAAGAGGAGAGATAGACTTCAGGGATTTAAGGATGGGCACTATATGCCAGGCCATATCAATTGGTCCGTAGTCTTTCATGGAAAGCGAGATATGAATCAAGACCTAGCTACTAGTGGTGTTGATGAGAGACTTCCGGGGGATTTCGAGGTTTGCCCTATTCTCATGGCGTGTATTAAAACCTGAAACTAAACATTTCACAGGAATCTGAGGAATTCAAGTCCAAAAACAGTAAAGTCGACTCTGAACAAGAAACCAGGGTTGGCTATATTCCACCTGACCCTGCCTTTCCCGCCGGTATTCTTTCTATTCAAATACACAACATTATTGCCCTTGAACGACATAGCACCACCGGCTCTAAAGGTCGCCCTGCATCCCGCAGGGGTGGCTCCTCCAACATGGAAGAAGAGGAAGCCGATAACCTACCCTCCGCCTACTGCTCAATCATTCTCGACCAAGAGAAGATCTACAAAACCCGTGTAAAGCCGATGACCAGTAAACCATTTTTTAATGCCGGAACCGAGCGCTTCGTTAGGGATTTCAAAGCAAGTACAGTACTGATCGTAGTGTCTGATTCAAGAATGAGAGAGATAGACCCTATTTTAGGCGTCGTGGAATTCAAGCTAAAGGATGTCCTCAAAAACTCTAGCATGATTAGTAGATACTACCCCATGCAGGGCGGAATTGGATATGGAAAGATCCGTGTCTCGCTACTATTTAGATCAATCGACGCACAGCTTCCGAGGCCACTTCTTGGATCTAGCGTTGGCACGATCCGGATCATATCAAAGCACATTTCCTCAGCTGGAATTACTGATAAGGAAGTCCGAGAAGCAGACTACATCACCTTCCAGACCCCACTTGTCTCCAAACGTGCGCCCCAAAGCGAAAACAACAACGGTTGGAGCCCAGTTGGATCATCAAGAACAGGATTCGGACTCGGTGTTCGGAACAGACACTCGGTCCCACTAATTCTCTACTTCCGCCGAGACTCGAAACTCCGCCGGGATAAAACTTATGCGGCAGCAGTTTTGTGGCTGAAGGATATCCCAGACGAGGAGGACACAACAGTGAAACTAGATGTATACCAACCACAGGATCTAGACGGGTTCATCCAAAACTGCGGAGTGGAGGGTCAGGTACAGAAGCGCTGGGGAAAACACGTCGGGCACGTCGAACTAGTTGTACGTTTCCACCGGGGGCTAGCAATGAACTCGCGCGCCCATTTGCGTGCCGCGGAGCAGGAGAAGGACTTTGCGGATGTCGTGGAGGCACAGCAATGTATTACCCGAGACGATCCAAATGTCACGGACTCGTCGGCATCCTCTGACTCTGAAGGTGGGACAGGCTCTTCACGCGTTGACGGCGCTGGCGGCGGCGAGGATGACGACGAAGACACTAGCGAGGTCTCAAGCGACGAGGGTGGTGAGACTGGCGGTATCGGTGGGCTAAAGAGGCGGTTTTCGAAGAAAAGGGATATGCAGAGGGAGCTACACAAGAGGGAGAGAGGTGTGATGCAGTGGAAAGGTGCGAGGACACTGGCATGGGTGGGGAAGGGCGTGAAGGACGCAGGGAAAGGCGTGAAGGGGCATTTTAAGATGGAGCCGAGAAGACCTAATGTCGAGACGGAGGTTCCGTAATCATTCTTTTTTCTCTTTTTTCTTTTGTTTTTGGGGTGGTGTTGCTGGCGTTACTTTAAGAACTACTAAGGGCGTTTATATATTTTGAGTTGTTTTGAGCTATTTCTAGTTGGATATCAGTCTGTCGGCGAGGTGGGAATTGACCCGGCCCTCTATTGAGAGGGCACACATAACTACATACGTAGCTTTAATTATGCCTGCAAATAACTTGCGGTTTCATTTGTTTAATTTTATTTTGTGTAAAGCATTTAGCTACGTGTAGATCTATAGATGCCATTGGATCAATATCGAGTGTACATGTATTTGTAGCATTTTGAGAGAATATGATGACATAACCTCACCTACTATCACTCGAGCTCAAGAGCCTAACATCCGTGACACCCTGCAAAGAATAGACTTCCAAACAAGAGAGAAATGATGACTGAAGTTAGAACTCAGCCTCTAGTCGAGCGCTTCTAGAATTATATATCAAATTCTACTAGGCAGGAAAGAAACACACCCACGCAACTGGCCATACATAGATGTTTGTAGTTGCAGTTATATAATGTATGTATACATACAGCCACTCAGCAAAAGTGTTCGTGATTTAGTTTTAATGTCAGTGCGCAGTGTGGCGCACCCGTAATGTTGATGTTATTAAAGTTGAGATTCAAAACAACGAAAAATATATAATATAGTTCGTGACTATATATAAAAAAAAGATAGGTCATTGATCTTATTCTTCATTGATTCCTGGCGCCATTGATCACCGGGAAAGTCTTCTCTTGGTTTTTTTTTTTGATGGTCCGCCACGGTTACCTATGGAGAAATGTCTCACTCCGAAATCGGAATCACGAACACTTTTGCAGAGTGGCTGTATATATGTACGATAGAGTTTAAGGGTGTTGTGGCGGAGACGTGGTATCAGTATGACATCAAGGGAAAGCTACAATGCCAAAAAAGGGTATGGATTCGCTACGTTATTCCCGCTAATGCGCTAGTAATGCAGCAAGAATACGGCATTACTACGGTATTCTTTTTGTAATGCCAGTTTAATTCCGTATTATTCACTAAATCCCGTAGTCATACAGTACTGATTTCACCCCGTTTTTTTCGTAACGTAGTAGAGGTTCCCGCCGAACCTCCTAACAGAATTATCATCCATGATATTTCCATTGAAATACCTTCTATAGATACGACCACTCGAGATGAGCAGACAACACCCTGGGTACGGACGAGCGGTGACATCGGGACTGGCCGTCTGAGGACCCGAATGCCATCTAGTCGAGGCCCACGTGCGCTGGCACCCCAGCTGCAAAAAATATCCGGGCAAAATCGATAGTGGGGTTCACGAATCGAATCTGATGTGGGGTAAAACAGGCCGGTGGGGTGCAGGTTGTTTACGACATGCAACAATATAATATAAGTTTTCTCCCGATGATCTGAGCCTATTCAGCCTCCCTGGCCGGGCGATGGGAGAAGTATGTAATGAGACCGCATATGAATCTGGACGAGGTCTGTTGCGATATAATGAAAGTATCTTGCTCGTACATAGTGACTTCTACCGGGAGGGTACAATCTACATCTCCTAATATATAAAAGGTCAGGACGAAAAGGAATTTCGCAAATGGCGGGTGATGATTGGCCTTGCACCCAGGCTCCCTACATAGAACGATAAGGGTGTACTGGAATATAATATGCTGGAATAGCTTTTTAATAAAATGATTGTTTTGTTTACTCCGCCCGGGAAAGTACTTCCAAAGGCAAAAAGGTTCCAGGCCAGAGTAGCAGGGAAAAGAGAAACGTAAGGCTTTATTTCATTCACCAACCTGGTTTGAATTGATAGTATAAATTGAGATTGGGCATCATGAAATGATTCCGGTTGGTAACAAACGGGAAAACCTCTAGTATAGGTATGTGTGCTCAGCTCGCTCGTCCTAGACCGCTAGTAGTACAGTACAGCCAGGTGCGCGCTCGGCCCCATCGAGTGACCACTCGTGATTAATATAGCTAACGAACCACCACACAGGTCCGAGAGCGCCGATCAGGAGTTGTGGTGTGTTAATAACCCTTCGATACAGGATACACGCCTGCACCGTTAATTTAAGGATCAATCATACTATACTAAAGCCGAAACTCGCAGGGTTGTGGCGCTTGCGCACGGTGGCGGTGCGGGGTCTACTAATGTTTACCATACTCGTATTTGATTGTATATATTACCTACATGCACCTCTACCTCTAATAAAACCCTACTAATTAACTAAAGGCAAGCCACAGTAATAATGTTTCCTGTCTTAGGGCTATGTACCCCAGACAGACCGCGGCGCCAATTGCAACCACTCAACTTAGGCTCAATTGGTCGCCCACTCCGATGGCTCCGTGCAGCCTAAGCTCCACTCCGGAACCCCGTCCCGGTACCTGCAGAGTCCTATCTAATATCCTCTCGGACTTTTCGGGGTACCTGCTGGGGATGTTTGATGTTGATATAGTGGGTTGAGCTTGATATAATAAATTAAGTTGAACTTGGTATATAAGTACCATCTGCCAATCCCTCTGTGTTGGGTCTTCTCTGTTCAGTAACAGCTTTGGAACTCTTCATCTCATCCCAAAGAGACAATAATGGTTGTTGCACACTTTCTTCTCGGAGCGGCCGTGCTGGCCACTGCTGTCAATGGTCAGGCCGCACTATGGGGCCAATGTGTAAGCCTCCCCCGAAGCCTGAAAACTAGAAGCCCTACTAACACCACCTCCAGGGCGGTGTTACCTGGACTGGAGCAACCACTTGCGTCTCCGGCGCCACCTGCACTAAGATAAACGACTGTAAGCTTCCCCCCTCCTCACTATCCCCGCTGCCCTTCTAACACAAGGCCAGACTACTCCCAATGTATCGCCGGAACCGCAACCACCACCGCCGTCGCCTCATCAACAACCTCCACGGCAGCTAGCGCTAGCCCGGGCCTCAACACCCTCGCCGTGGCCAAGGGAAAGACGTACTTTGGCTCCGCGACGGACAACGGCGAGCTCAGCGACGCGGCATATACGACTATCCTGAAGAATAGCAAGGAGTTCGGAGTGATCACTCCCGGGAACAGCATGAAGTGGGATGCGACAGAAGGCACGCGCGGGACCTTTACGCTCACGAATGGAGAGACCATTGTGAAATTTGCGGAGGCCAATGGGCAGAAGGTGCGCGGGCATACGTTGGTGTGGCACTCGCAGCTGCCAAGTTGGGGTATGTATTTCTCCGAGTGGTAGTGGGGATGAGACTAATTGTTGTGTGGTGAATAGTTAGCAGCGGTGGATTCAGTGCGGCGGAGTTGACGGAGATTATTCAGACGCATGTGACGAAGTTGGTGACGAACTGGAAGGGCAGGATCCTGCACTGGGATGTCGTCAATGAAATTTTCAATGACGATGGCACATACCGTACCAGGTATATTCGCTGCCCTTACATATATCTCACTCCCTCTTGATACTAACACCGAATCCAAACCCACAGCGTGTTCTACAATACCCTCGGTGAAGAGTTCGTCTCCATCGCGTTCAAAGCCGCGCGCGCCGCGGACCCCGCCGCAAAGCTCTACATCAACGACTACAACATCGACGGCACCGGCGCAAAGTCAACCGCCATGTACAACCTCGTGCAGAAGCTGCTTGCCGCCGGTGTGCCCATCGATGGTATCGGTGTCCAGGCGCATCTCATCTCCGGTAGCGTACCAAGCACGCTCGCGACTAACTGGGCCAGCTTTGCATCGCTGGGCGTGGATGTGGCCATCACGGAGTTGGACATTAGGATGACGACGCCGTCGGATGCGACGAAGCTTGCGCAGCAGGCGACGGATTATGGGACAGTCGTGAAGGCGTGTGTGAGTGTGCCAAGATGTGTCGGGGTCACGATTTGGGATTATACGGATGTGAGTTTCCTTTCTTTGTTGAATGGGTGTTGAAGAGTTACTGACGGTAGTGGTGTAGAAATATTCGTGGATTCCGAGTGTGTTCTCGGGACAAGGAGCTGCTCTCCCATGGGATGAGTCGTTGGTTAAGAAGCCCGCCTATGCGGCGATTGCGTCGGCGTTGGCTTAGAGGGAGGTGGAGGTTTGTGCGAGTGATATATTATGACGCCAATCCCGTCGGTGATGCGGCAATATCAAAATCTATCAACGTTATGAAACCAATTATCATTGTTTATAGGAGCTTACGAATAAGAACTTCTCAAGCCCAAGCTAAGTCTCCACTGTGAAGCCTCTCAGTAGCATTGCCAAGATCCGGTTTGCCAAATGTTCTGAAAAAGTCAATCCAGAGGTTGATGTGTCCCATTAGTCTCCATGGTTGGCAGCTTCAACGATTTTTAATCACGATGTTAGGGTAAAAATCCGTGAATGATCCATAAGAGTGTTTAAAGTAATTATGCCACTGATTGGTCGTGACAAGCTTGAAGTATAAAACACCATATACGTGTATTCTGTAGTTTTCTTGGCACATGTATCTACTACTAGCGGGACACATGTGTCCGCATCAATTGACCATCGATTCTAGGCGGTCCTTGTCAGTCACAAACATAGGTATCTACAACTGCTGTTGAAGATGACGGGCGGATACCTGGCTCTAAGAGGCTAGTAAAGTATTTAACGGATCGACTCTACCAAACCTCTTAATGAAATCATCTATGTGATTTTCTTATCGAAAAACCTCCTAAGCCAAGCGATTGCATCAATTACACCCATACACAGAGGACCGAGATTCAAGAGTTCCAGATCTACGCACTCGATCCTTGATATCCAACTCGCTGCAAGCCGTGGCCGTCAATCTACCACCGGGAACTAAGGTACATGACGTTGGTGTGATGTTAGTGTGATTTATTTACCCACATATACTCTAATCTACCTACAACGACAATGAATGTTTCACTCAACCAAGAGCTTGGGATGGTAATGGTATAATTTAGCGATTGAAGTTAACGGATACATGTCCTCTACATCCCCACATGCACACGTATCGTATCGAAAACCACTCCTGCAGTCAACACAAGCCTCTGACATCAACACGCAGATATCCTGCCAGCGGCTGAAGAACTATTCCCCGCTGAGTGAGGCAGGGTGTGTTTCCAGTCTGGGGACTCGGAATCGCCCGCTCTGCGAAAGCTTGTTTTGAGGGCGGTATCCAGGGTAACTGAGTAAGGAGGTTATGTAGGTGGCAGGCAGGGCGTTATCGTCCCGCTGTTCTGGTAGTCAAGTATGTACTCACTTGCAACTGATCGGAACTATTTTTATACCTGATAAGGATCGAGTGTTACTGTTACGGGCGACATGCGTCCACCACATTCGAAGGCTACGCTGGTTATACGAATCGCGAAAACTTGGCTCCTCGAATTCGAAGCCCAACATAACTACACTTACCACATCACAACCTCCAGACCTGTTATTCCTGCCGATCCCGTGCACCCCAAACCCCCCCCCCCCCCCAAAAAAAAAACCCCCGGATCGAAAAAAGGCGCAGAAAGGATAACCTTCACAGTTTCTTCGTATCCGTTATACGCGTGCGTGGGGTGTTGTATAAACTCCAACTACTTTACAATCTCACGTTAGAGAACAGCGGCCGCAAGTACGAGTGGTGTGAGAATAAGCTTCTTTCCAGCTAAGGCTTTGTGACGAGTCATCCCGCTGATATACATGTATATATAGACTCCAAGCTTAATTCTGTTTCGCCAGACAGAAGCTTATCTCCGTCACACGACACGAACGACTAGGTGCATGTTGGAATGTGCACTTTGCCTGAGGTTGTGGTTTTTACCTACATTGACTGTTGCACTTGCTGGGGCAACAGTCTTTGGGTCCGTCGTGAGGGTCCGACTGGGAACTGGCGTGTTGTGACGGGGTTCACAGCGGTTTGAAGCTAGGTTAATGGGTTAAGGGAGAATTGACATGATATTTACTTACTCGCTTACTCGCTTACTCACTCACTCACTCACACGTCAGCTCAGGCCAGAGCGATATGTGCGTGGTGAGTGAGAAACCTAAAAGAATCATGACGAGAAACGAACGGGCAGCTGGAGAGCTAGAGGCACTTCTATATATGGTGAGTCGATACCAGCTACATACCAATTAACCCCAAGCTTAAATTTTGCGGCTGGAACGTTTAGAGTTTAAAATTCCCCCTGCGGCCTCCCGGAAGGGCAAGTGAAAAACAATAATAATCATTTTACGAGATGTCGATATATAAATTGCCAGTAGTAAGGCATTTCCCAGAAGTGTACATTTAGTAGGGCACCCTGTTTCAAAACTGTCCTCTCAAGGGGAAGGATACCCGCCTCCCCCGACCGATTAGGTTTACCAGGGAGTATGTACTCGCAATTTCACAGCGTTTCCGGATGCAACTGCTATTGCATACACAGAAAAAAACCCGCCAAGGCTATCTTTTGTATGGCATGCAATAGTGGTCGCGTCCGGAAACGTCAAAAAAATACGAGTAGTCAATAGGGCATGCAGCGTGGCAAAAAAAAAAAAAAAAAAACAATATATTGAACACGATAATTTGGCCGTTGTGTTTTCGGTAGAGTAGACCGGCCGGCGCGTGCGCGCCGCGTACAGGGAAGACCGAATTCGTGCGCGGCCGGTCATGAATTCGAAACCGGCGACTCTCATGTGTAAGGGAAACAGAGGATCTTTACTCCGCTACTACTGAGTAACAAGAGTATGACTGGAGATATTCCCAAGAGCAAGTCATTCTGTTGGACATGTAAAGTAGTCGCGTCCCTTCGTGCTCTAGTCACCGTTGTCACCATGGCCAGGTTTCCCGGGCCGGCATGCCCGACGGCCCGCCATGTCAGTCAAGAACGCTCCGGAACATGCCGTTGCGGTACCCCGGACGCCAAGAGTCACGGTTATCTCAAACTGAGAGATTGCTTTGGGAGAAGTTAGGGGGTGATCCGGGGCAAGGTCTGTTAATTCTGTAGAGTGGGTAGAGTGGGTAGGGTGGGTAGAGTGGTAGCTAGCTAGCTAGAGCTAGAGCTAGAGTGCTTGTAGGTACTCTATTAATTCTTGGCACGGCGAAGTGGAGTACTAGCCTGGCTTTGATTGTTTTGGAGCTGGGGTGGGGATCAGGTGCCAAGAGTCTTGTACAGTACTAGATAGTAGGGAGGTTTGTTTATATTCAGGAGCTCGAGGGAGAGTACATGTAGCTATGGCGGGAAAATTGAAGAAAGAAAAAAAAGACGTACTGACCCACCTACTATGGGATATCCGAGGACCTCCCCTTTGTACATGGATCATCAATAGACTGAGGGTGTCGTTTATTTACTTACATGTAGTAGAATGTTAATTATAATATCCGAGGTAGGTTGTCTTAAGCTTAATTACATGTATAATGCCTTCTTACCAAGCCGCCGGCGATTTAGGAAGCCCCGAGAATTTAAAGTGTAGCACAACGTCCCCCACGTAGATCAAGGAGATTAATGATGACCCCTTAAGCTTGAATTCTTCGTAAGCTAGCTATTATGTTTAAATTGTTCAATGCAATGGCTGGAGACTCCCGAAAGCCCGGATACTACTGCTTGCTGGAAGGCTTGCTGCTGGAGCGCAGACTTTGTGGTTTTGATATTGGGCTTTGTAATTGATCATGAGCTACAAACTCGCAATGGCTGGGCGATTGGTTTATAATTTACAGTATGTTTATCTTCAACTGTATACAGATCTAAAGTCTAGACGCAATTGCAGAACCCAGCCAGATCCACATCTACACGAACAGTAATTATCCGCATCCCCGGATTTCAAATCTTTGGTAGACCCACCTCATGTACAGAGACGTTGGCAACTACGTAGCCTTGTACAACGCCGAAGTTTGGCCGATAGTGCGCCTTGAAACTTCATGTGTATATTTAATATTTTTTTAGCTTTGACGTTGCAATTGAAGTTCTGTTGCACAGAAACTCAATCTATGAATACAGAGATGCTAGCTAGGAATGAAGGTAGATGCCCAGACCTTTGATAGAGGGAGGGCTTGGTACACTCTAGATGAGGAAAGTAGAAAAGCTCCTAGGGTACAACGCCTTCTCTACTTTGCTTTGTACCTTGAAAGTGCACGTGCTTTGTTTAACAGAGACTCCAGGCCCCTGTAGTAGCTTAATTGTACAGCCAATCGGGGATTTCGAGTCTTATAGTTTTATATCTAAGTTTTTCTTGGCCTGACAGCTAGCTAGCTAGACCCACTCACTTCACTGCCTCTACCGCTGGGTATCAAAACAAAGAGTAATGATCAACTAGGATTTTTTTTTTCAATCACTGGATGGCCGGGCCGTTGGGGAAATTTGTACCGGTGTCTGTGCTGTAATCTTGACAGCTTATTTTTTTTTCTTGTCTTTCCTTGCTCGGATCCTCACGGGGTGAATTGATTGTAATTGTAATCTCTGGGTCTTCGAGAATTGGCAGAGAAGCAGATATAAAAGCGTGTCTATCCCCATCGTCAATATCTCTTCTCCATTAGTCCTCACCAGTAGCACTTGCCTTCACAGTCACTCTCTAAACCAGCTATCCTTATATACAGCCCACCAATCTTTACCTAAACCTAATACCCCATCTCCTCTCTCCACCGCCACCATGAAGCTCACCACCCTCACCTCCCTCATGACTGCCGGTCTCCTCGCCACTGGAGCCCACGCCCACACCCGTGTGTATGGTGTCTGGGTCAATGGTGCCTTCCAGGGTGATGGCCGTGGCGTCTACGTCCGCTCCCCGCCCAACAACAACCCCGTCAAGGACATCACCAGCAGCGCCATCAACTGCAACGTTGCCGGCACCACTGCAGTTGGCAGCTCTGTGACTGTTGCGACTGGTGCTACGTTCGAGTTCGAGTGGTACCATGATACTAGGGGTGATGATATCATTGCTTCTGTAAGTACCCAGATTTCATAACCAGATTGATATGCAATTAAGGCACAGTTACTGACATGACATGATACGCAGTCCCACAAGGGCCCCGTCCAAGTCTACATCGCCCCCGCCTCCAGCAACGGCGCGGGTGCAGTCTGGACCAAAATTGCCTCCGACGGCCTCAGCGGCGGAACCTGGGCCGTCGACAAGCTGATCGCC